ATCTAGTAAATATCTAAATTGCCTTCTCATTCTCTTTTGGACGTTGGATTTGGATTCCTTTGCAGTGTATTTTCCTGTTGAGATGAGCCAAGAGGTGGAGTGGCTTTAATCTGTTTAAATGTAAGTTCTTAAATGCCAGGTTTATAGTCTAGGAACCACCAAATGCTCTGTTGAGGAATTAGGAAATAGTCTACTAGTTCAGCATAATTTTGGAGAAGCATCGTCACCAGACAAACTGACAGTTTCCGTGGATTCAGCATCTCTCAAACACTAACATTGTCTTTAGAGCTAAAATGTACACAGGTATTTAGAGGTGTCCTGGGCAGGCCGTTATAAGTTGACAGGGAGTTGGCCAAAGTGCCCATTAGACAAAAAAAGAAAAAGAAACTCTGTTTCCTCCCACCTGTCCTTTTAAAATAAGCCCCACTGGAGTGTCCATGCATATGAAGCACCCAGACCAGCTTTAGGCTGAGTGATTGGAAGTCTATTTTAATTTTTTAAAATTATTACAGAAATGCTCATAACCTTTTATAATTGTACTCCAGAATCATAGCCTATCCTTTTGTGTGGAGACGGCAATCTGCTTCAATTTGTAAACCACACATAAGAATAGGCCCTTAGCAACGTGTAAATGACAGTTCAATAATTATAGTTTAATAAGAGCAATTACCTTTTACAATACCACACGTTGAGCCTAATGCTGCTATGATCATAAGAATAAGGGCATTGAGTCTGTTTGAAAAAGCAAAACAAAACAGGGAGACTTTTATTGCTCCTGAAAAGCATCAGATATGTTAGGAGTTGCCAATGAGATAAGTATAACATACAAAATTTTAGATTATATAAATTCATCATTCATTAGAAAAACAATTAACACAGATCACTTTACTTTTCCCCTGATTATTTGTTTGTTGCCAACTTTTAAAAATAGAGCCCTGCTCTGACAGCTTAAAAGACATAATTACTACCTCTGGCTCTAGTTTTAACCTGCTGTCTGTTTGGGCCTCAGTTTCTGCATTTGTAAAAAAGAAAAGCAGGGTGGAATCTTTGTGGCTGGATTTGAATGTTTATATCTTTGGCCTTTGTTTTCCCAAAACAAAAGAATGTAAGCTCACTGTAAGCACCACCACCACCACACTGCTGAAAGGAAGGAGGGCCGAATCCCAGGAGTTTGGAGTCAGGGAATGAAGGCTCTTTCACACCGGCTCTTGCCACCATGACTCGTCAGACCTGCTACAATCTGAATTTAAGATTAAAACCTCAGAGTTTTTAAAACACTTTAAATTCATCTGGAAGTTAAAAAATGATTGCATACTTTAGATGTTTTTAAATGGATCCCTGTTAAACCCTATTAATTAGATGCTGAGGGATACTTCTGAATATTAGTCACAGAATTGTCACTGATATATTTTTCACCCTTTTGAAGAACATATCAGCAATATCTGTAGTTTTTATCTGACAGAATTTGTATGCTCTATGGTTTGAGGTGATTGGGTCTTTGATTACACAATACGGGCTTCCTAATTCCCTTTCACGACCTACTTTTCTATGTGTGGGGAAGATTTCTTGTTACAAAAGACAACCACAAATAAGTATCATCTGTAAAAGGTTAAAATGCTTGAAAATATTTAACTCTTGTTAAACATCCCCCCGCACCTCCCCCCACTCATTAAATGAAGTCCCTTCATTGCTTGAAGAACAAATTAGATTTTGTTTAGAGTGGTGGTTCTCAAAGTGTGGAGTCTGATCAGCAGTGTTAGCGTCACCTGGAAACCTGTTAGAAAGTCAAATCCTCAGACCTGTCCCGGTCCTACTGACTAGGAAATTGCTTCAGGGTCCCAGCATTCTGTGTTACAACAAACTTTCCTGCCATTCTGATGCACACTTAAATTTGAGAATACTGGTCTAGAACAAAGAAATCAGTACTTAGCTTTGAGTCCCAAAGCTGACTTTCTTGAGTCTCTAAAAGGCAACGGTTTTGAAAACCAGGTTTTATCGACTAAGAGAAAGAATTTCTAAATACAAAGCTAACTTTTGCATATGAAGTGAAAACCTGACTGGTCTGAAAATAGAATTTTACTAAAAGCCATAGTTCGGAGAACATGCAGGATGACACAGGGAGTGTCCCTTACAGATAGGAAGGGCAAGTGGTGAGTGCAGAGCCCTTTAACCTTGAGAGGAAAGAGAAAGAGAGATATATAGAGTCACAAATGACCTTGCATTTCCCCTTCATGATGGGAATACCTGGGGAAATGAGAAGAAAGAAAGCAACGAATAATAGAAACATTCCAGTACAGTAGGCCATTCTCTTTGACTCTGAGAGCACAGTCATGAAAATTGATTTCCCTGTAAAGAGGTGTCACTTTGGCCTGGTACCATATCCAACATGGTACCTGGGCAGTGGAGTGGCAAGGGCTATGGCATATACTACAGACAGATTTGCAGCGCTTCGTAGTGTAAAGACAGGAGTACAAGTGGGCTTGGGCTCTTCCTCAGGTGGCTTGGGAGAGACGTGTCACCAGTGTATCAGAATAGGGCTGGGTTTGGTCAAGGGGGCTAGAGTGCAAGGATCTCTCCGGCCCTCAGAGGCCAGGGCGGCCACCATGAACTTCCACAGGGGTGCGCCAGCATAATACATGGCAACACGTAGCACCTTCGGACAAAGGCTTTTGGAACTAAGAATTTTCTAGAAGACTTGTAAACTATTAGAGGTGGAATGGGCTCTTCAAGATGAGATAAGTTATAGCAAATCAAATTTTAGTTTTCACATCAATTTGATACTATTAAATTGAGATCCTTCTGATTATGCACTTTGATCTACCAACTAGTGTATCTATAAAGCTTGGGCAACAGCAAGCATGAAAAAGGGAGAATGTCCTCTGTGGTGTTAGCACTCTCCTCATAGTTAAACTGCTGCTTTGGGAAAACCGGGTGTTTTTATACCTGTGATCATTTTGCTGAGGTCTCTTAGATATCTAATAATTTACTGCAATGTTTGGAAGGCCAATGTGCACACTCTCGGAAGGGTTCTAAGAAATATCTGATGCATAAGCATGCTCTCAGAGTCATCTCCGGATTCCTATTCCTGTAATTCTCCAAATTCATTTCCTGCTTCTAGTTCATCCAGTGGCTACCTGATCCATTTCCATAATAGGAATCACTGTTAGCATACAAATAATAAATAAAAATTAATGCCTCCATCTTCATTGTACAACTGACATATTAGTCCCCCACATCTCTGCTGAAACCTAATACTCAGCCAGGCAGAACCCGATCACAATCCTCTCTCAGGTGCAGGTGGACATAACTGCCTGCATATATAAGTCCCCTGCCTTGTTTAATGTAAGGCAGTATGTTCCAGAAAGCCCGCTGAGGCCCAGATGTCTAAAATCCATGGGGCCGTGATAGTATATCTGGCACAGCACACAATTCATACATCATTAGAAATGTCATACTTGTGTCTTCCCGTAGTCATAGTTAAAATGGGGGTGGTCTCTTTATGTCAAAAAAGCAGAGTTATTTGATATGAGAAAAACGTTTTTGTATGCCACCTGGAACAACTCAAAAGATGGAGATAAACATTTACAAAAATTGATATAAAGATGAGGTGACCTAAGCCCTATTTATTTATTAGTTCTTACTATTCTTAAAAAAACAAAAGGAAAAAACACTAACAACTGGTAAGAGAAGAATGTCTTTTTATTTCTATCCCAGGCCTTCAGTCTAGCCCCTAGCTATAGTGGGCTATAGTTCACCCCACTATATTCACCCCCTAGCAATAGTGAATGCACAATATATTTTTGTTGAATAATAGAATGAGTTGATGAAGGAAGGAAGGAATAAAATATACCAAGTGAGAGAGAACAGGAGACACAAAGATCTTGTGATATGAGGACTGGAGATGAGTAATAGGTCACAAAACAACAAAACATCATAGGTTCTCCCTAAATATCATTTAACTAAAGAAACAAAGAATAGAGAATCAATTAAATATCAATTGATAATGGTTAGAAAATCCAATTACTAACAGAAAATACTGTGTTGATGTCTTTACAAAATGTAATTTGCCTTAGGATAGAATTATTCTTAATAGGAATTAATTTAAAATTATCACACATACTTTTCCATTAAAATTTATATGGTTCATAACTAGAGAAAATGTACTGATGAAGCTTTAGGGAGGAATCGCAGACAAAATGCAATGCAGTTGTGGCTTTAGTTCATTTAACTAAGAATCAGGAAATCTGGTTGTATAGGTATGACTGTGACATTGTGCAAGTCACATGATCTCTCTGGGGTTTGGAATTCTCACCTGAAAGATGAGGGAGCTTTTGAATCATGTCCCCCGAAGTCCTGAAGTTCTTTGGTACAAATGTAAGCAGCTCCACTTCTATGTTTTACCAATTGGGTTCCCAGGTGAGATTTCATTGGAAGAAAGGGAACTCTGGCTAAAAACACTGACTTTTATGGATCTCTACATTTTATTGATCTATTCAGATAACAAATTACTTATTTGAGAGTCTTTTTTGAGTCTTAACTTCAGGCTGATTTTCGAAGTGTTCAGTAAGTGGTATGACACTAGCTCCAAGCAACTGAAAAAGAATGCCATGAAGCCAGTGCACACTGGCTGGATACTGGCTCTGCCCCGGGAGGAGCTGGGTCTTCCAGAAGGAATGGGGGCATGCCTTCTCTTTCTGTAGGAATCCATAGTAACTTTCACTATTGCTGCTCAGGGTGCTGGCCAGTTTAAGGTGACAAGTTCAGTCCAAGGAAATCAGAACTTAGCTGTGTGTCTGGACAATATCTGCAATTGTGTCACACAAACATAAATAAGATTCAGCTTGCAGTAGTGGAAAAAGCATGATTCTGCTGGCCATGAAACCCTGTGAGGTCCACAGCAGGAGAGAGAGCAAATGAAAAGTGCACCGAGCCCCTTTGGGAGTTGTAAGGTCCTGGCTTTATATAAACAAGTGGTAGTATTATATGAAATATATGCCTACCTCATTGTTGCAGAAGCAGTAAATCACCGCAACGAAGAATCCCTAAAAAGGGGAGGAAAAACAGTTGAAATTATTTTGGTGTGCATTTTGCTGTGTAGTAATCAACATAAGTCGACAATCTGGAGAGGAACATTCACTACAGCAATAGTGAGTCAAGGCTCCATGAAAAACAATTACTGCCACTCATGGTCAGTGCTTCACTATCCCACTATTCCATTAGAAATGCATTTTTCTTCCTAGAATTCTATTGTTTGGCTTAAAGGACAGCTCTGGTCAGTCTAGTTAATATACTGTTGCTTTAACATGGAGATTTATAGCAGAAGATGCTGGTTAAAGTGGATTTGAAAATAATTTTTGTACTTCAAAATGTTTAGAAACTGGGATCTTGCAGTTTAGTAGAGAAAACTTATGCAAGTGCCAGTGTCATGGTGTGCAGCTGTGGGCCTGACTGTGCCCTGCGTCCTCATGGTGAACTAGAGCAACACAGTACCCACAGCTCAGCTCATCTCTCAGGTAAGGGCTAGGTGACCTCAGAAGTGTGGTCACTGCTCAGAAGATTCCTTGTGTCCAAGCTTTAACTGTCTACAGAAATGGCCAAAGCTATAGCTCAGATTATTACAACAAGCCCTAAACTTTATTTTTAGCTCTCTATATATTGACCTCCTTTTTCACATTAAGCCTCAGCAGTAGAAAACAAAACTACTTTGAGATTTATAATTGAGAGAGCAAAATGCTGGCTTAAGAGCTTGCAGCAGATGCACATGTATCCCCGGATTCCTGGCCCCGGGGTGGCTTTCAGGATCACCAGCACTGTGCCCTCAGCTGGGCTTTGGGGCCAGGCAGAGTGAACGCAAAGGGGGCAGCCAGTCTCCACTCGTGTGGCAGACATTGGGTCACTGGGACACCCCTGGAGAGCCTGCTCTTCTCTTCCACATGGGGAAAGAGCTGGATACATTTCCCTCTACAGTTCTTGAAGCATCATGGATGGAGTCCTGACATCCCTCTGACAAATGGTGACAGAGCAGGAGACATGGCTGGCTCTGTGCAAATCCAGTATACCTCCTGGGAAAACTGACTCAGTGCGTATTTTTGAAAGGAGGGTAAGCAGGGGGAATTTGCCTGGGTGGGATCTGCTGAGGGCCCTGGAAGCAAAGGGAAAGCAGAAGAAACACAGTGTCTCACAAAACCTAGCTTCCTTCACAGCTGTGGCTGGGCCTGTTGACTTGGAAGCTGTAAGTCATGAGTTTTAGATCATGGACTTTAGAGTTCTCTCTCCTGACTTTACCACTAACCAGAAAAATTCTTTTTCCTTATCTGTAAGATAAGAATATTTACCCAACACATTACAATGCTTACTAAGTGGTGGCTACAATTATCTTTATTTTAGATTAGATAACCTGAGAATGTCAGGTACACCCATTCTATGGGGTCTAACAGTATTGGAATGTCTAAACTGATATCCTAAGGTCCTGACCTTTCTAATCAGGTCAGATGAAATAATTGGAAACTGGATTCCAGTTTAAGAGGGACATAGCTTCCAGCTCGGGGTCCACTGGAGGCATTTCGTACTGATAAAAACACCTGCTTCTCTGCCCTGTGTTTTCATGGCATTAGTGACTATGTGGATAGTAGTCCAGGTTGGGAAATTACTGGCATTGGTTATGTTGGCCTTTAAAACTCCCCTCAATGAAGGAAAAACAAATGTGGCCTTCAAAATACTGGGAAGGGGACAGGAAAGACAGGTCACAAGGACCCTGGGAGTAGCTCTCTCTTCAGCACTGCACAATGGCTCAGTCAGTCCCTGCCATGTTTGTCCTCATAAAGATGTGCTCTCAAAGTTCATACTCCTCATTTCCTTCCTCAGATTTAAGATTCAAAAAATGACATCAGGCAGTGAGAAAGACAGAGGAGCTTTATCTCCTCTAGATCATACACATTCTTCTCATCACAGATGAGCCCCAGACAGGGGATCACCCTGCATCAAGTAGCTGAGCAAGTGCACCGTTGGCTTCCCTACCTGGAAATGAATCAGAGAGTGCATCAGGTAATCATATATTTTCCCAAGCAGTTTGTTGGAGGGCCTCCAGGGAAAGACAACAAATTGGATCCCCAGCAAGGGCACCAGGATCAGAGTGGCCCTCACCGCCTTCAGGTACATGTGTGATTCCGCCTCTTGGGTTTCCCTCATTTTGCTCACGAGTACACGGACGATGTTGAGCAAGAAGAAGAAATTGACCTGCAAAGATAGGATGTTATGAGCAAATCATGCAGGTCAGTATACCACTTCAAGACATCTATTTTCCTCCGTTCTTATTTATCCAGAATAAATAAACACAAGAAACTGCCCGGGAGGAAGTATAATTTGCTCAGCTTTGCTGGAACCCTGGGCATCAGCATAACCAAAGATCCTTTTCAGACGTGAATCAACATTTCCGGTTTCTCCAACTTGACTATTGTGAATAAACATGCCATGATATGAGTATTTGTGTACAACTCTTTGTGTGGACATATGTTTTCATTTCTCTTGAATAAGTGCCTAGGAGTTCTTATCTAAGATACCCAAGAAAATAGAATTGCCTCTTCATAGGGTAAGCATATACATAACTTTATAAGAAACTGCAAAACTCTTTTCCAAAGAGGTGGCTTCATTTTATGTTCCTTCCAGCACTGTATGAGAATTCTACTTACTCTTTCCCTTTGCCAACACTTGGTATGGTCACTCTTTTTGGTATTAGCCATCTGGTGGGTCACCAACTATTTCTCGACTGTGATTAGTTTTGAAACCAAAGTTGTTTTTAAACTGAATTGATAATTAATGAAATACTTGAAGTGCCTGAAATACTTAAGTGTAAGCTTGGTGGTAGTTTTGATGATGGCTTATATACCAAAGATGGAATGAAAGATGGTTTTGTCTGGCAGAGCCGATGAAAATGGTGCAGGGGAACTTTGTGATTTCTCTTTGTTTATCAGCAACACCTTTTCACCATTCCTTAGCCCCTTGGCCTTTACCTTTAACCAGGAGAAGTTACTTAGAAAATTGTTAAAAAACAAAAACAAAAAAAAACAAAGCTATATTGTTGTTATGGCATGTTCAGAAAGGAACTCAGGACACCCCATCTACCCCCACATTGTGTTAAATAAAATTATTTTTTTCCCCACTGGAAGACTCGCAAATCAACTATAGATTATTTTATTAGAGATGATCAATTAGCTTCTTTAGAATTTATAACACATGTGCTACATAGAACCATCTCCACAGAAGTCCCCACAAAGAGGTAACTCTGTTAGTGGATTAAAAAGCAATTCTTACCACCAAAGCCGCCATGACAGGGCCGTGGATGATATAAAGCAAATGAGTCTCCACACTCAGCCAGCAGCTGGAAAAAAGGTGGAAACCTCAATACAAATGCATTTTATTTACAAATATGTTAACTTAAAAACCGCCATAATACTTACTTGTCATTGAAGTACAGTGCCCTAGTGATAGCATGGATAGTGGTTGGCACCAGCGGGAACCCTAAAAATGTGAAAAAGTACAAATCACACCTCGTTTCTTGGTCATAAGCTATACCTACAGTTGAATGGAAAATAGTAGTTTAGTTTCAAAAATAGTGGCAAATTTAATGTCTCTGTCAAGGTATTTTCCTGATATTTTTGCACAAGTCATCTTTGGTTAAACCAGGTAAAAAAATGCTCTTGGTTTGAACATCATGTGCTTTTAGAGAGGTTCCTTAAGGCATCCAGGTAATTAAAAGTCTCTCATACAAATATCCAGTATGGTGGGCATATTACTGCACTCACTATGACTAGTATACTATCGTTGTGTCTGTGATGATGATAATGATGGTGATTGACTATTAGCTGAGACCAGAAAGCTCTTCATTGTGTGTGAGCTGGGCTCTCTTTGGGAGAGGAGCTGGGTCACCATGGAGGGAAGTGACCTGGGACATCCTATGAAAGCAACAGTCTGATTGCTCCAAAAGCCTTGTTGATGTTCACAGTATTTCTTCTAGACTTTGTTTTTCTGTCTGTATATATCACATGCATTGATCCTGTTTTCTTTCCATAAGAAGAGAGTAGCCTAGTGCATTCCTCTGTAAGCGCTGCCTGCAGATCCTTTATTATAGAAGCTTAGTACCATTTCCCTGACTACACTTGAAGTGCTAGTAAAAAACAGCTTTGAATTACTAAATGGAACAATGGGGATTGTTCCTGGCAATGCATCCTGTCAGGTTACATCTTTTTAAAAGTCAGTTTTTGTTCTGTTAATGTAATGTAGAGTAAAGTTGTCATTTTTGAAAAAAAAATATTTTTCTCAAATGTACTTATGCACAATAGAATATCATTTGATTTGGTTGAGACATTTGTTGAGTTTTAAAAATTATCATCAGATTAGAAATGTGTCCCTGAAGTGAGTTAGATCAACATACTTTTATTTTCTCTGAATTATATGCAAAAAGACAACACCTTAAAAATGCTTGACTGTTCACCTAAGAACAGCCTCAGCTTGTTAACCCATGAAGCAAATCATTCAATAGGACCATCAAAAATCATTCAACAGGACCATCAATTAAATATTTGAGCCCAAAAGAATTTTGAGTTAGATGCTTTACATAAAACATAATTGTGCTTTATTCACCGCAGTTCTAACATCCCATTTCCTGACTTGGGTTTAGAAACAAAAATTCATTCTCTGGATTTATTCTGAAATACACATCTTAGAATTAGGCAGCAAGAGAAGCATATGGAGATATAACTCCCACCTCATTCTGGAGAAAGGGAAATGCGTTTCTTAATACAAAGCGCAGTGTAGTCGCTGTGTCCGCCGATACCTGGGGCTCTTCGCCTTTCTCTAGCCATGGTGCCTTTTTTTCTGCAACATGTATCTTCTGCCCTCTTCCCCATCTTCCACGAGGCTCCAAGAGCCACAATAGCCCTTCCTTCCCACTGAAGATGGTGATGGTATGAATGATCCTTTCTCCCCAGGATTTTTTTTTTTTTTTTTAGAGGACTGGATACATTCTATTTGTTCATTGTAAAAGTCCATGGGGAAGTTTCCTTCTTTTATTTATAACAATAGGAGAACCAGTAAGGTGAAGACTCAGTCTGAAGAAGGTTATAAAGTAAATGATTTTTCTGAGAACTGAACTTCAGTGTTTGCAGTTGCTTTGATTTGAGAGAAATCCACTAGGAAGTGGTCCTGCCAGTTGTGCAGGGAAGTAGCTACTGACAGAAGCATTCTTTCACGTTCTGTTGGGGAGAATTTTACCACCAGATACTTTTCACCGAGAGGGTGATGTTCATAAAGTCTCTTATAATTCTTTAAGATCCATTCCAGATGCTGGAGTGGGCAATATTATTCACAGCTGGAGTGAACTGATGGGACATACATCCCCCGCAAACAAGAGTGAGGTCTTAGGGTGTAGCTTTCTTGGGCTAAATCTTCTGCTGTGCCACTTTTGGACTCTTTTCAAAGTATAGGTTATGTCTTTGCTCATGGCATTATACAATTTAGGACCTATTCTCCTGTTTTAGTGTGAAAATAACTTCGAAAGGACAATAAAACATCAGTAGAATTGCTCTGCTCCATTAAGTTCTTAAGTTTGGGTGACACTTTTTTCTTAGGAGGTTATTTTGGTTGCAGTATTACTTCTTTCCTCCCACCCAAAGATAACGCTTGTCTATAAAGTGACTTTCAAACACACCATCATGGCTGCATCTCAGTTTTGTTCTCGTGGTTGAGATTTGGCTCTTGATATTTGAATATTTGAATGGCAAGGAGTTTGGTGGCATTTTGGGGTGTGTGTGTGCGTGTGTGTGTACAGGAGTAGAGAGAGATTTAGCTCTGCCATTGCTAAAAAATGAATACATTTTAAAGCTATGTTGGTTGGCTATCTGTGTTTCCAAACATCTGTCTATGGAAGTGCAAATCCTCCTCATCCTTTTAAATTGGTGATTCTATACTTGCCTTGCTGAGTGTAAGGTTCTTTAGGATTCTACCTGGATCACTCTCATAAAGCTTTAAGTATCTTCTGAGTAAGGAGGTTAAGGTATCTCATAACTATTTTACTTATTCTCATTGACTTTTTTGATACAGCCAACCAGCTTTTTACTTTTTATCCTTTGAATTGTTTATGTGTGTTAAGCTCCACTGAGCTGTGTGCAATGATGCCAGAGTTGTGTAACGAATTCACAATGACTTGGTATGGAGAGAATAAGATAAATTCTGCCTTCCAGCGTGCCCTCATCTCTGCTGAATGTCACAGGCAAGAATACATTTGTAGCCTTGTTCTTTCATGGAAAATTTTTTGAGTGTGGCAAATTGATGTTTTTGAATAGTCAAAACTGATACAAGGGAATAAATTAAATAGATGAGATGGAAATGGTGTGAGTGAATGAGTGAGTGAGTGTGTGTGTGTGTGTGTGTGTGTGTGTGCATGTGTGTGCATGGCAGGCCTGCGGTGGGATGTTACTTTAAGGTTTTCTCTGCCTCATACATAACCCTCATCTTCCAAAACTGGTCCTGCCAGGAATCAACAGGATACAAATTAATACCCCCAATAAAATTGGAGCATCACAGTAGAAATGAATGATACTGGTCAGATGCTTTCCAGTGGAAGACTCACCATTACAGGATTATCCCATTGAAAGTCATGTGTTTGGTTAAAATTGCACAGTCCTGTTAAGGAGGGGTGTTAAGGAAACAAATACTGCAAAGGGTCAGCCCTGGTGAAGATTGTGGAAAAGACTTTTCAGCTGCTTATATGACTTCCCAGAGATATTTTTATACAGTCGGTAGCAATGTCTGTTGAGCAGGGATTTAAAAACAAAGGTGAATGTTTTTAGAGAGCCTTTGGATTATCCTCCCTCTTTATTAAATCTTTCCTCTTAACTGTGTTTTTAGAGGCTCCCCACAGTGCCACATTAAAGCACAGGCTTAGTTGAGACGACCCACAGCCCCTGCTCCAAGACTCATAGTGGCCCCACCATGTATGGAAGGACAGCTGTGGCTCAGCGGCCAGGATCCTCCTCTGGTGTGGGAGCTTCACAGGATGTGTCTTTTTTTGATAAGCAGCACATATTTTAATCTCAGGGCTTTTTCCCTTCTCAGATGGGAGTGAGAGACTTTCAGCAGCTCTGGCAGAAGGGGACCAATTTTGGAGAGTCCTCCCTGACCACAGTCAGGCTGTGCAGAAGCAGCCTCAGCTTACGTGACCCAACCAGAGGTTTTTCAAAGCCATTGCCAAGTGCTCTGATGTCAGGTAGGCTCCACCTGGGGCCATGTGGTTATGCGTATTGCTCAGCTAGACTCCTGTCCTGACCTTTCACTGGAGGAGTGCTAATGGACTGATAGGAAGGAATATTCTTGAAAAAAAGTGGAGCCAGGGTGGAGGAGACACAGAATTCAGAATGTGAAAGTCTTTGCTCTGCGAACAGGTGGTAAATAAAACTGAAAGGAACCTCATCAGATCTTCTCTCACCAGGACATGTTTTTGGCCCATTAGTTGGCTTTTTTTTCTGAAGACTTAGAATCATACCCATCCTTCTCCACACTTGCCCCTTTGCTCACCTCCATCAGTGTGAGCTCGTTAAAGCGTTCCTGTCAAGTGCTCTCAGAGACTGAACTCTCCCCAGCATCTGTGCCATCACTCCTCAAAGAGCCCATGCCTCTGACTATTCTCTGAGAGCAGGACTGGAAGACTATAAATACTCAAACAGAAGTTCAAAACTCAGCTGGAGAAACTACATACCCCAGCCCAGAAGATAATACCACCGCAGGTGTTGCTCCTCAGTGAACACGGCCACCACAATGAGGGTGTGAAGATAGATCCCTTCACAGAGCATCCAGAAATAATTGCATGCCATCATGTACTGGTGGAAAAAATGCAAAATCTTGCAGCTCACCTGTCAAAGAGAAATGGAGATACTCAGTGCAAGACTTCAGCAAGGGTCTGACATGAACAGAGGGTAAATGTGACAGGATCCAGAGGACCTGCATTCAGCCTGCCAGGCAGTTTCCCCAAGCATCTATCAACATGTGCCACCCTCTGTATCCACAAGTCAGAGTGATGGTGCATAGATGATTAGTATTACATGTATCCAGGGCAATGAAAGCCTAGTCCTCAAAACGTTCTTTCCCTGTTACATTCTGGTGACTTATATAGACCAGACCAGTTTGTTTTCTGCAATGTGTCTGAGACACATAAATTTTTAGAACATCCAAGGATTTGTCACATGAGACAATGTGGAAGAGTAACTTCTATGGCCAATGAGAAGACTAACCCAGAAATTATTAATGGTGCTCCTGAAGTGCATTGATCTGTTGATGAGAACTCCTTAGTTAGTAAAGAGGAGAAAATCAGGTGATAAATTTCTCATGTTATAAGCCAGGGGCTATGTTGAACCCACTGGACATGAGTGATTTTGTTCTCATATGGGAGGCTTGGATTCTCTATTGGGATTCAAGTGTTTGGTGTACGGGGATTCATATGGCATCCTTGCTTGGCACCCTGTGCAGATATAGGAGCTGCACCTCTTGGGGCAATCAAATTAACTACATATATATTGTTATCTGTATTGAAATAATCATTGCTTACACTGCATAACAGAACACCCCAAATTATTTCCTAGTTACCATTAGAACAGGGTTTTTCATCTCGGTACTATTGATACTTTGGACTGGATAATTTTTTTGGTGTGGGGCTGTCCTGTACAGTGGGGTGTTCAGCAATATTCCTGACCATAATACTTTGGACCATATCAAAGCTGCCAAGCTTATCTCTGCAAAGTTTTGTTTTAAAGCAGAAATAAACTTTGCTGCAGGTTTGGACTGATCTCCAGTGACTAAGTATGATTGTTTACATTTCCCTGAAGCTTTTAAAAATGTATTCTCATCAGTTCAATTTAGCACAGAAGGATGGGTGCAAAGTTATATTTACTCAAGCAAGGGAAGAAGAATTGCTAAGTCAATTTCTAGGTATTTTACTCAAAGGAAAAGACATTTTAAAAGACCCTGAATGACAAAGATTTATGGTCTATATTGTTTACATTTACCAGGTTAATTTTTTAAATTAAATTTTACTTAATGGACATTTAGATTGCATATTGAATGAACACATAATTACGTAAATATGTGTCTGCCTGATCCATCCTTCTGTGTCTGCTGTGTCTGCCATGCCACCTTTACCCCAACCCAATAACAACTATACAAAATGTGTGGGCGGTCCTGAGCCTGCTGGTCTATGGGCCATGCTTGGAGTGAATTTAGGGCACAGAAGGAGTTGCCTCAGTATCTGACTCCTGTTTTGGCTGCTCCCTGGCCTTGCAGTGCTGATGATCCTGACCATCAAAGAGCCCAAACCTCCTGTTCCAGCAGACTCACAGGGCCATGGGACATGGCCTGACTCTGATTCCCATGTACTAAAGCCAGAGGAGGACTGCAGAGCTTTTTGTCAAGAAGCCAGTGCAGCTGATAAACTAAGGGGGGAAAAGGCTTTCACATCAACTTGAAAACTGTCGACTTGTACAGTCTTTAAAAGCGAGATGAACGAAAAATCCCCTAGTTGAAAAGTCAACATTAAACAACTTAGTAGCAAAGCGCTGCAGTCTTTCTCCAGAGGAATTTAAAGATGTAATGTTTTCAATTAAATGTGAGGCTATTGTGCCATCCTGAGCTGATTTCTGATAACATCTCAGAGAAAATGAGCTTGAATCTGTGGAACTGTAGCTGTCATTCAGCGTGTTTGGGAGGGAAAAAAGCTCCATTTGAGAGGCGTGCACTGGAGGATGATCCAGAAACTGGCGAAGGGAAGTGTTCAGAAAACAAAGCCACACTAAAGAGAAAAGCAGGATACGTGCATGATGGAAAATGTGGCCTGCTGGAAATGCAGCAGGGGAATAAAAATTAAGAGCTTGCTATGCTCAAGGGTCTTTCTTGATGTGGGGTAAAGAGGACATTACCACTCTTCACTGGGGGTTTTCAAACCATGACTGATTTAATTTTATAATCTCAGACCACAGCCCTTTTGGTTATTTGCGATTTACAAACTTCTGAGTATTCTGCATATTCTGCTTTTACATTGAGTTGCTTTTAGATTTAAGCAGTGTTTTGCAAATACTCTGAGTTTCTGTATCTCCTATGCTGCGTAACACAGAAATGAAACTGGATGCCACAGTTCGAGAATGAGAAGTGCTTGCAGCCTAATCACAATGGCAACAGCTACAATACAAATAACAATGACAGACTTTGAGAGCTGTTAGCGCCAGACCCTGTTTTGTGTATTGTAGGTGTATCCATCCACTTAATCCTCACAAACAACTCTATGAGGAAGAGTGCTATTTATTATCTCCACTTTACACTTTAGGAAAGTGAGGCACAATGAGATTAATAACTTGCTCAGGATTACAGAATAATCTGTGAGTAAACAGAGAGCTAGAATTTCAAGAGCCTGTGGCTTGGCAAGAACAATGCTGTAGTATTGGGAGCAATCCAGCTAAGCACAGAAAATACCAAGTTAGCTTGTTATTCCACAGCTTTCTAGCAATGAACTAACGTACCCCAAGGACATGTACAAAAAGCCCTTATATCTCAACTGGAGGCTTCTTGAGAAAGAACAGATCTGTAAGAAGGTCTGCACTAAATCCATGATAGTTTTCTCAAAGCAGGGGAAACTAGCTGCAAATGTGGAGATGAAGACTTGCTGCATAAACCATGTCACAGGATACTGTTTGTAAGTCACTGATTTCCTGTGCAGAGACCTCCCAGACTGGCCAGATGAGACAAACTGGCCATTGGAATGATGTTTATAGCTATTTTATGAATAAATTCTTCAAATCCATAATGGGAAAGTGGTTGACTATAAGTAATACATTTTGAAAAGGAATGAAGAGATCCTCTATACTTCTCTGCACCATATGATTTTGGTTAAAACAGCATTTATTGGTTTTGACATGTAAGTAAAGTGAAGTAGCATAAATGACCAGAGTGGGATACTTCATTCTCTTACAATGACTTGTCATTTATTTTCTTGGCAGTGTCCCTCAAGTCCATCATACTGTTTCATTCCTAATCAAATTTCTTGCACAGGCTACCAAAAGGGACAACTCCCATCTAGTTCTATCTGTCACTGATCTCTCAGCTCAGCAACCCTGCTGTCCCTGTACCTCCCTCACACTTACGTGCCCTCCCTTGCTCTGGTCTCCTCTGGGCGGAGCAAAAGCAGTCCAGATTCTACCCTGTGTTTATTGAGTCCCTAGGGCCTCAGTGCTGAGCATCCATTCCCAGCTGGTCTTCTGGTGACTAGGATCAAGTTCTGATATAGTCTGGTGGCTCAATGGTCCCAAACAGAAAAAAATTTCACTTATTCTTTAGACCCTGAGACTCATTTAACTTTATATAAATAAGAAGATATAGAAAATATGGCCTGATTACTTTGGCTTTTTGAGGTGCAGAGTGTGCGGTTTCCCAGTAAAAACTAATCTCCCTGTATTGTCCCTTTCAGAGCAGATAAAAAGTTCAGAGAGACATTTCTTTCTAGAAATGACAAGTATGTATGCTGCCAGCTTCCTGCAGATGAAGCAAGAACCATACGTTCAGTTCTGCCTCCTGACTCTACATGAAGATCATCAAATAAGCAGATCGAAAAAGAAAATGGCATTTGAGATATTATGGAAATGAAATGCTCAAATGACACAAGTGACAATAGGCAATTTCTGCATCACTCCATCAGCTGAGGCTCTACTTAGCCCTTATTTTGGCTGTGAGTTACTTTGAATTTAACTTAAAAAAAAAAAAGAATGAGAAGGAATAAGATCCTCACCCTTGTTACTACAGGAGAGAATCTGCCTAACCAAAAAACTTCCAAAGGAAGAAACCTACCACCTTGGCAGGTAAGGGACCCCAAACCCTCAGGGACTCCCTACTGAGGGGTGGGGACACTGTTTTCTTTTGCTCCCAACAAAATAAACTCTTAGGGCAGTAGCACGACAGCAGTTGGGGTGAGGCAGCCTCCTTCCACAGGAAATGACTTTCTTTTACGATATCCCCTTAGGTAATGGGAAGGAAAATCTTCCTGCCTCTTAACTGCTGATTCAGTGACCTGAGAAGTGGGTCAAAATTTAAAACACAACCCAATTCTGCCTTTAATTTGCTGAAGAGAGAAAGGGTCTTTACACAGTATGTATTGTTTTTTTTTAAAACGAGACACAAGCTTGAATCACGGATAGGTGAAGTACTGACGATGTGCTTTAATTTATGAATGGTTATGTGTTCGATGCTGCAGTTTCAGCCAGTACTGATAGATTGACAATGTCCAATAACTGCCCTTGTAAAATTTCTTGTGATGGTGCTGTTTTTGGTCTCTTAGGGTTTTCTTTGTTTTCTCCACTCCTCTTTGCTATGGAGAATCTTCAATGTAATGTTTTCGGGAATGTTGGTTTTTCAAGACAAATGTGATATTTAAAATAATTCATTTAAAGTGTAAGTGTTGAATATATAATTTTGCACGTGGCAGTAATATGTTGACCACATGATTCTCTTTATTTGTATACTATTGAGTTTGTCCCTTTAGAGGTGGAGAACTTTACTCCAGGGAAGGATGGGGCTTTCCTAGTGAAATTTAGTTAAATTTTTTCTAGTTCTCATTTATCCCTTGTATATTCAAATATATTTCAACAGGGAAATCTATTCTTTCTTGATGCCTGAATTTATAGTTTCAACTGCAAGTCACTTTAATAGGGCAGAATATGCATTTTCAAGGTGAGATGCACCACAAATTCCAAGACCTGTGTCTCTCTTGGAAATAGTAAATAAGCAGTTTCAAGGATGAATAACATGTAAGATATGTCTCCTTGAAGGTTTCCCCCTGCCCTTTCTTGAACGAGTTTTGTTTGCCTAGAGAGAGCAGCCCTGTATTGTTTGCCCATGGAGGGTCAGATGAGAGGTTCAGCAAAATCACTGGGAAACAGGGACTGTATCCCAAGAAAGGAAGCAGTAAAAACAAACAGCCTACTTTATTTTTTCCTTTGGGACAAGTGTGTGCTTCACAGTTTACAAACATGAATTAATTTGTGTCATCGTAGTCATTTGTTTTCAGCCTCTACCATTTATATGTGTTTGGTGAGAAGCATGTGTTTCCAAATTTTGTCCTGTGGAAGAAACAGACCATTTGGAATTGTGAAAGGGGCACAGTGTGTTCGCACGTTTCCACTCCCTGTTTACCATTTTAAGTGGCTCGTTATTAGTGGTTTATTCTAATTTTGTTTACCCTCAAAGGAAAGGAGGCTTCTCGTGCAGGTACACAGACTTATTGCCCGTTTGTTTTCCATTCAATACACACACTTTGAAATAGGTACATGACTGAGCCTTCCAGGCATCGTTGCAGGACATATGAGTCATTTCCCTGTGAGACTTGGCACCATTCTAGGGATTGCAAAAGGAATGTCATAAATAGATATTTTCCCCAAATTATGTGAATTTAGTTCAGCCTGTAAACTAAAATGTGAGCTTTGGGTGCTCAGTAAACACTGGATTGATTTGATTATATTAAACCTTTCAAGACATTTAGAGTTTTCCTTAGGAAGTTTGCTTTTGTATAGCAAAAAATAGCAAGTCTGGTAGGTCAGCAATAGATTGATTGGGAGAATTAGATGCTAGTCATAACATAAATATAAGCTTTTTTCCTGGTTTTCAAAAATTTAGGTCACTTTGAGAATCTCTAATGTGTGAGAGAGTCACCCTCACTCCTCTAGACCCAGAAGAAAGCTTCCTGTTAATTTCTCTTGTCCCCTACACTCACATTCTCCCAGGAAATCTCCCAGGAATAGGGGCTGAGCCAGGTCCCTAGACAGCTGCTTACAGGTTTTATTAAAGGTTTCTAGGCAATAAGGGAGCTGCAAGGCAGAGCTAGACTGGCTTGTCAGCGGCTACGAGGCAGCCTCTGCAGGGTGACTGGAAGCATCCATGAGCAGGTCTGCCCCTGAAGTACCCTGTGAGAGTGAAGACACGCAGCGATGAGAACTCTGAGACCGTCCAGAGCGCTGAACTGAGTAACAGATGGGTTGGGAAAGCCAAGTGCAGAGATCTTGGAAGTCAGCCCCTGGGCAAGGGCCAGCAGCATCCCGGTGAGCAACTGCTTGCAATATTATGCCCTTGGGAATTTGTAAAAGCTTTATGTTTCTTTTGGGACCCCAGCACAACCTCTTGGAAGTAAGCAGGGCAGTTTTTATTATTTTTATTTGATGGATAAGTTTAGTTGGCTTCTATAATTCAATAACAAACTCAGAAAGATCCTGAATTTAGACTATGTCAGGAAAAGAATGATGGTGGGCTGGTGGTATGACATATGGGTGGGAGTCTATTCAGGAATTTACAATAGGCATAATTTGACTGACCACTGATCCCAGTGTTGATTATTTAATGACTGAGTGCCATTTCTTGGCCTACTCCATACAGACAGCAATTTTTTCAGGGTATCCACACTTAGTGGGGAGAGGGAAACCAAAATTTTGAGTATTCTCTACTGATAGATGCTTAGTTAATGGATTCTACATCTATTTTAAACTTGGTGGTCAGGGAGGGGGGTCAACTGCTCTAATTAAATGTAATGTATATGTTCAACTATGGACACCTATCACTTTGGAATGGCTGAGCCTACTTCTTTAAGAAGGTATCTTCCTAAGGAAGTACATCAAGACAATCAAGAGCACCATGTGGTACAGAGGAGAGAGGTCTGGGTTTGAATCCCTTCTCTATCCACAGTACGGAGATCACATGGCTTCACTGAACCTCAGTTTACTCAGTTAATAATGGGGACTATGTCTACTGTTCTCTGGGGGTGTGTGAAGATTAAGTGAAATGAGATTACTTTTATTAAAATCAGTTGACATTAAAAAGAAAACTTACTAAGGTAAACCCATTCTGTAGGTACGTCAGGACTTGTGTCAAATAGCAGATGCCATGGTTTAAAAAGACACATCATAATGCCTTCCTGGATATATTCACACTGCAAAATTATTAACACTGTGGATCCATCAGAAGCCAAATAAAGCTGCTTTCCCATGCCATGCTGCTGTCATGCAGGATGAATGCTCTGGGCAGATTTCACGCATTTTTGTCACTGGGCTGGCAGAGCTGTCAAATGCCAGTTTTGAAAGATGAGGCCATCTACAGTTGCTTGCATAACATAGGTCAGCAGGGAAACAAAAACAAAAATATCCCTTGGCCATTCATTGTGTGCTAGAAAGCTTCTGTTGGTGCTGTCAAATGCATCCCTCCTGCTCCCGCTGTCCTGGGCCCCTAGCAACAGATCTGCACATTTCCTTCAGGGCTTCCACGGCCTCCGGTTTCTAGTTGAGCTCAGATAATGGAGACCATCAGCAGAGACTAAAAGATGAGAGTGAGTGAGTGGGGATTAAACCCTTTTTCAAGTTGTGCAGACAAAGAACATGATAATATTTATACGGCTTAGTAGAGTAAATGCATAACTACTCATAGCTGGAGTGACTGGTCCACGCCCAGCCCGGTGCCAAAATGCTGAGGGGATTAATATCTGTAACCCATTAATGTCACACTGGGTCCACAGGAAGCATTTCCTTAGTACACGTAGTATTGTCCATGTTCACAGATATGCTCAGTAAACTTCTAATAGATGTTAATAAATTTTTCATTACTGACAAAAACTCATGATTTGTTATATAATTCTTATTTGGTTATGACTGATTTATTCCTAGCCCTTTACTATAACATCTAAAAGTTATTTCCAAAATGACATAGAAATAATATGCCTTGCTGAACAAGTGAACTGTAAAAGTAAATATAAAAGTACACATGTAAACAGCTGCTTAAGGCAAATAGTAACACCACATTCACTGTTTACAGGTACTATACATTTAAAAATACAATTAAAAACAAATTCTGCAGTCCTTACCGGATCCCTTCTCACGAGCTCTCCGTTGGGCACTACTTCAACCAGGTGGATGATGATAATCATAGAATTCAGGATGTAAGTCAGAAACATGTTCTTGTGCAGGGTTACCCTTTGGCAGCCAAGGCTCCTGGAAGAAAAAGAAGCATTAAGCAATGGCAAAATGTTGAAGTACCTAGAAAAAAACCCATCTGGGGACTATTTTTATTATTTCCTTTAGCAGCAGATGAGAGAACCTATAGAAATAAAGACCTGGTCTCAGACTAAGACTCATTACTACTTTTCTGGCTGATTTTTAAACAAACTTTTCCAGTCACAGTAGCTCATTGTTTTCAGTCTTTGGGGTGACTTCACACAATAACTGAGAGTAAGTGATAAAATCACTTCTAATTATAATACATGTCATGAAATTAATTAAGAGAAGAGCTCTTACAAGAGAAACCATCAGGGTTTGGAGAGTGCTTCAGATGAGCAGCCGGCTGTTCACTGATGTACCCAGGCAGAAATTGTGTGGCACACGAGAACAGAGCGTGAGTCAGAACCAAGGCCGCCTGTGACTGGGTATTGCCTCCGTATCCTTAACCCATCGCACACACAGACTTTATCAAATCTGTGCTATCCTCTCTTTTGCAGTTTCTTCTGACATTTTCTCATTTCTCATATTCCAACTGGAATCAAGTCTGTGGTTCCTTCTTTCCAGATCTTCCTGATGGTGGAGCTCAGACACAGGCAGAGAATTCTAAATAGGTCTGATCTCATTATGAGGCATATTGTGGTTTGGATCCCGTAAGACCTCTCCAAGTCCTGCAGCTCAATGGCATAGCCATTTCCTACCTGTTAGGTACTAAGCAATATGTTGGATGTTTTCATCCCTTTCTCCTCCACTTCAAAAATGCACATATGTATTTGTGTGAAGCTTCACATAAACAAATATTAGTTTGAAAATCCTATTTCACTTTTTGGTGCAAAGGGGGAAAAAACTGCAGGGTGACTATAACAAAATTGGAACAGTTATCCCAGATGAATAAAAATCTTGTATTTACCACATTTGATCCAGTCAAAAATGTTTAGTTTAGCATAATGTAAAAACGTAAAACATTCAGCTAATGATGCCCATGATTCATCACAGTATTAGTTCTAAAAAATCCTCATGGAATAAAGTGAGAATCCCAGGAATTTTGAAAAGGATATTCTGGGGAAAGATGAGCTATGAGAATGGTCTGGGTTTACATACAAGGCTTCCCTATATTTCCAAATGAAAGGAAAATTACTTGTCAATTATCTGTAGTAAAAAGTAAACTGCAGTAATGAAGGCATCTGGTAGAGCATATTTTGATTATTGTAGCTATATTTTACAACTTTTCAGAAAGCACAAACATTAGTAAATAGTTACTACAGAATATTTTAAAGTTCTCAACTTGTTGAGTAGAGATAGAATGCAGAAATTAATATCTAGGAGGCAGCCTATTGTAAAGATAGGGTTTGGAGAAGAAGTCTCACACACACACACATGCACACACACACATACACACGCATACACACACACTGCCATGTGCTACCTTATTTGGCAGCAGATAAGCTGAACCTAATTGTTATAATAGCACTATATAAGTACGTTGCACATTTAAGGCTGCAAAAAAAATTATGTGGAACGCATACCCATTTGCACTGCATGTACTCTTCCATATTGCAAGTGCCACATTTAGTGCTGTTAAATCTGTGACCTGCTGTTTTCCATGTAGTCATAATAGCATTTTATAATAATTCTCACTAGGAGGCAAATATCTCAGGTCTCATTATTGGATTCAGTCTGGCTTAAATGACAGTTGACATTGTCCAGAACCAAGGGGTACAGATAAATGCATCGTGCAATGCTGCTATTCCTGGTTTTCTTTTGATCAGGTGGAGTTCAATAATCTGCTGATGTACATTAGCTTCAGGGATGGCTAATGTTCAATCCCCTTTGTAAACCAGAACCACCATGAATAAAATATACTTCCTCCACCTCCAGCTTACTCTCTGGCCTTTGTATCTGCTTTTTTTCCCCTTCTTAACACTAATCACCTTCTGACATAAATACTGGTTTATCGCTTGTTATTATCTCCTTTTCTCTCATTAGAATGGAAGTCACTAAAGGAATTTGTTCTGTGCTCCTCAAACAGTGTCTGATGCACTGTGGGGATTAATGCCCATTTCTTTAAATTAAAAATCTTTATACAGTAACAATTTTCTTCTTCGAGCTGTGACCACTACGTGGTTTTCCAGTACATCAGCGAATTACATTAAATGCTAGGTGATTTCATTTCTTGTACTTTGTATCATACTGAACACTTGCCAAATTCTTAATACAGGTATTAACTAACCATTATTGGACACTATCCTGTTGTTGAACACTAGCTAAAACCTCTATAGAGTACTGTATACAGTACATAAAGAGAAAACGATGGTTTACACCTGGATAAACTATTAGCCTCCAAAGGAAGAATATGACTAATGCATGAGTTTCTGTTTCATAAGAGTTTCAATATAATTTCTGCTTATTGAGTTTTAAAATTTTTATTACATTTACTTGATGACATTTACACCCAGCTTTTTTAACCGAGTTAAAGGTACTTCAAATTTATTAATATTCATTCAATAACCCAGCACATATTACTGTGTACCCGCTATGATTCAGACCTTCTGGTAGATGCTAGGGATACATGGATGCACAAAACAGACACCTTCTGCCTTCAAGGACCTTATATACCATGTGACTGTTTATTTACTCTTACTAGGATACCTCTTCTGAAGGAGGTATATAGGATGCTAAAGATCTTAACCTAAGAAATTATGTGTTTAATTGTTCTCAAATACCTTGTTGTTTGAATGAACATGAGAGATGCTGACAACCTTTTCCTGTCAGATATGAAATATTTTAAGTAGAAACAGCACCAGCCTGTTTGTAGCTATACTTCTCTCCTCTAGATTAAAAAAGAAAAAAAAGGTATTTAAATGGATAGGACATTGCCAACTCTTTGAGTGATAGGGAACCATATAGATTCTCCAACATAATTACTTCTGACTTGCCCCAACCAAGGTCTCACTCAAATGTGAAGAAGAGTTAACAATTTACTTCAGTATGAATCTCAAGAAGTCATATTTAAAGGGTAAATGTCATTTTCATGGTTTTAGTTTACCTGGTGGAAATCTTTAACGCTTAAAAATTTGTTTCAAGTTCTTGGTCCCCTGTGCGTGTATGTGCTTTTGGGGAGCTTGTCATTGTATGAGAAGGCATTTAATATTTGCCTTTAGTTTTGAAAATTGCATGAATTAGTTTGATATCATAGGACAAGGAACAGCAGTATTCAGTCCTTTATAAGACAGTGTAATTATAGTCACATTCAAAGCAAACAAGGAAAGTAGCAAGCAATGAAACAAGTAAATGTTGTTATGATTTGGGGGCACGGGAGGATATGCATTTGGAATAACTGTTGCAGTTGGAACAAGCAAAGTCATATCTTCCAGTGTATCTCTGTTTTCCTTTTCCTAGTCGCACCTTGTTCACCAGGGGCAAGGGAAGTGAGGGGAGCAGAGGGGATGTGGAATGGATGGCATGAGGCTCCTAGAAAAATTCAGGACACAATATATTTTACAGCTTTCCTGTCTGACAGGGGACTTTATACCTCTGGATTTAGCACAAAATCTTTATCTGTATGTAACTCCCTTTCAATCGTAATTCTTGCTTCTTTTCCTGTTGCTACTATTCTAGAGTGAACAGTACACCAAAGTATGACCAGCAGTTACCTTTGGTGTCCTGTCATGTCCAGGGTGGGTTGGGAGAAAGGAGGCTATCACTGGTGCCCTTGATTTAACAGAGGAATAGGAGGGCAGGCAGAGTTGTGAAGTAGTGTACACTGTACAAGAGCAAGAGCTACCTGTGCATGCACCATGCAGAAGTGAGAAAAATAACAAGCAGAGGAACCAGCATTCCTTCTGGAGGCCCAGTGGAAACCCTCCTTTTTTGCCTATGTGGCCAAGCCAATGTCCTGAAAACACTTCCCACTGTACACGATAGATCTCTATTAACTTTCAGGCAAGAGTAATTAATATTTAAAATATTTAACAATCAGTAAGGCATTGGTGTCAAGAAATCAAAGGGGATGTTAATGAACATTCTTGTACTTTCTTGAGAGAAAACAGTGGAGATATTTCAGTACTTAGGATTATTCCACAGAAATGTAAATTGACAAATTATAAGTGGAACAGATGGGATAAGTGAATTTATTGCAAACTTGCACAAAATGTTTAGGAAACGAACACAAATAAATGTCCGCTTATGTGATTTTCTTAAGCCAGTCTTCTCTAAGAGTATCTTAGCTCTCTTCTTGACCTTCTTTATTGGCCATCTAGTAGTGAGGAGCCTTGTTGAACTAATTTGATGTTTCTATTTAATCCCTCTCCTATTATTGCTTCTATTTTTCCTGCAAAAGTCCCAAACCAAATAGCATCCTGAGGAGGCTGTCTTCAACCTTGAACAAGTGGATCCGAACTAACCTGTGTATCATCCTGAACATTATTTTAACTCTGCCACTTTTGTACAGTTCAGATCTTTAGTATTGCTTTTTCTATTATTTAAATCACTGAGAAATGTTTTCTCTATCTTGAAGAGGGACTAGAAGCTCAGTCTTCTTTTTAAAATAACAAAGACTTTATATACATTTCTACTTTCATTTTTTGATAGCAAGGGAGCATGATCCTTACTTGTTTCAGGGTTACATTAGCTCTGCCCTTTACCTTTCCCTGCATGCTCAGAATAAAATCACATTAAGATGAGAGGCATGCCTCAATGATCTCATTCTGAGTAACATCCCAGGATTTTTAGCAGCAAAGTATTGGCTGTTCTATAGGCTCCCATATATTCAGCAGCTGAAATCCCTCTGCAGGCCTTCACCTGCTGGCTTGAGAAGAACCCCTGCTGGGTTAGTTCTTTTTTTATTGACTCCATAAGGCACATTTTATGAGTGCAGAGTGAGATTTCAGTGGGATGGTCATGAATGGGGCACTAGGTCTCAGAAGTGGAGGTGGGTGTAATTGCTTATTTTGGTTTCATGAAAGTTTTTAGCAAATTGTTTAGATTTTACAAAATAACTCAATCCCGGGAATGTAGAATTAAGCAAGGGAGTGAGGATTATTTTTTGCTCACGTTTCACACACAAATGATGCCGTTTAAGTGCATAAATCCTAGGACCTTCCATTGTTGTGTGCAGGAAAGACCTTAAAGGTGATGGAGAATATTTGAAAACAATTATGGAAAAATGTTGCTAATTTAGAGATAAACCCAATGACAGATCAGTTACCTTGTATTTTTCACATCACTTTTAATATTGCTGAAATGGAAGGGTAGAGAAAAAATTGGAAGAAGCAGAACCATATTTTAATTTAAAGAAAATAGATGCCCTTGATATTTTTAGTTTGGGTAGGTTTAAGGTGAGATTAAGAGCAAGTATACAAATCTGATATGACTTATTTCAGGTCTGAATTTTTGCACCTCAGTGTGTGTGTTTTTCCTTTCCTAGTCATAGCCTGTTAGTTGCTCTGGCTAACCAGACATTTCACTTATGTTTCCCCGTTATTATTTTCAGATTATAAATCAGCGGGACTTGTTTCTTCTCCTAAGATTTAAGTTGCTATATGGTAGGTTCTTGGAATTGAGAGACCACAGGACAAAATGAGGTGCTTCCTGAGCAACCTGTCTTTACACTCCACTCCCTCTAAAGTTTGACTAGATTAATTTTGTTCTGGGACTAACGAGTTGAGAAATATTTTACTTTGCCATGTCCTGCACTTTTAAGCACCCATCTGTGCTGGCTTAATGTAGAAATGATTGTTGAAAAACATTCTTCTTTCTGCATATTTTGTTCTCACACCTTTTTACTTCTTTATGTGACTGGAGAAATGAAGAGCTAAGGAAGACCCCTGGACATTTTTTATCTTTAAAGTCCTGCATTCATTTATTAGTTGCACCATTACAAATTTGGGGGCTTTTGCTTTCAATTTTGTTATGGTTATATTAAAAAAACTTAAAGAATAGACTTTTTGTGGCAGACTTTTTAATCAAAGTTGTATGAGAGCCATGCTGATGTATTTATTCACCGTGGTCAAGTCAGTTGAAAAATGAATAGCCATTCCAAGATTAATCATGTTATGTGTTTACTGTAATATATTCTGATTATATTTGAAAATACTCCTCTATTCTAATTCTAGTAGTTAATCCCTCATGTCCTCTTGCTTTGTTTATGTCTTTCTCCTGTTAAATTACATATGGAAGGAGCTCATTCTCTGTTTATTTATTATTTCCTATTCAGCAAACAAAAAAATTGCTATTCAGTCATACTGCTTGGTCAATATAAGAATCTTGACTATAAAAGATACAGACATAATATAATATGGAATTATGGTATTAGATGTAAACAGATTTGCAAAGAATTGAGGAAAAATAATAATAATAGTTTTGTTAAGGGTGTGTTTATAGGTGATTTTCCTCTTGGTTTAATTTTCTTTAGTATTATAATATTTTAACAAAAGTTAAATTAAGATTCTATTACTCTCTATATGAATCATTGCACATTTAATGAGATAGCACATCTTTAACGTGTGGAGGATTATTTGCAGTCTGGGCCTATGAAGGAGCTTCCCTTCATCATTTGTATAATACCACTACAACTAAAAAGAAGTACTGGTGGACAGAGGCACCATGGTCATGTGGAAGTCAGAAATCTCATGGAAGAGTGATGTAGTTCCTCCTGCCTTTGATTTAAAGAAATTACACTAAGTAGAGGACATGTTTTTAGGACCAGATATAACACATACATTATACTATCTCACATACATTATGAAATCACTCCTGAAAATACAGAATCAATGTTTAAATCCTCTGTTATGGTGAAATCAGCATTGGTATCAACTTAATCATTTTGCCATAGATAAAGCAGTCAAGTGTGTAGAAATAGCCTTAGAATAGAAATCCTCACTGGAATTTTATTCCTCACAATGTCTTAGAAGATAACTGCAGTACACTGTGCTAGGTTTGCAAGGGCAAAAAATCAACACTTGGCAACAAGCCATGTTCTCCCAGAAATTCTCTTTGATCCTGGCTGAGTGCATCAAGGCCTGAAGGAGAGTCACCTTCCTTCTCTGGCTAAATACTGTCATGGCCTCACCAGTCCCAAGTCTTCTGACCAAATCCACTTGTGACAGAGCATGTCATTAGGCAGGGTGCATTTGCACTTGTGGTCATTGCCTCTGTATTTTAGAGTGGGGTAAGGGAAATAGGAAGATCCTCTCCTCAGTACCTCATGAAACTTAGCCAAGGTAAATGGGACCTTTACCATGTGTACTTCCGGGCCCACAGGATTGTTTTGTTTTGGGAAGGAGGCATATTGCCTTTGAAAATTATATGAATCTATACAATTTTCCTCAACAATAGTATTAAAAGCATATTTTGATTAATGTAATTTTTCTCATCAGTTTATGACTTCCAATGTTGTGTGTCTTTTGTGATTTGCAGAATTCCCAGACCCAACCACTCTTGCAGACTTAGCCACTTATTTCAGTATCTAAAGGAAAAAATAAAAAGCAGCTGCTGTGAGGGTACTTACTTGAAAAACACGAAAACCCCCAGAGAAATCACCAAGGTGAAAATCGACATAGAATGGCCCACAATAGCCAAATAGTACAGAACATATGCATTCTGGGAGAGGAAGAAGAACAAGAGAGTTACAAACACAAATAGGTGGATAAATGATTATAGAAGAGAAAAATAGTTTCTCTTTTTAAAAAACATCAGTGTGGATCAACAACTGTTTTCCTCCTTTAAAAAAATCTAAAATTGTAACAAATATTCAGAGAATTAAATCATATCGAATAATAATAAATTGGACTAACAGGTTGAATATTATAAGATTATCAGTTACACTAGAATATGCGTGACATGGGGGTAAGAACATAAAACTGGATTCATCAGAACTGTTCTCTACTCAGTGTTATCACTAAGTCTTTGTGTGACCCTCATTAAGTCAGTCCCTTCACCTCTCTAGACCTCAGTAGTCCTCATTTGTAAAATAATTTGTTTGGAATAAGTTATTTTTAAAGCAATTACATGCTGCTCATAAGAAACACCATTAAATACTGGAATAGAGAAATATTGGATATAAAAAAATGGGAAAAGATAACCCAGGGAAGTACCAAGTATGAGAAAACTGGTGTAATACAATACATATGCAGATGTTAAGTCAGGAAGATACAACAATTTTAAATTTCTATGCACATAATAGTATGAACCCAAGGTACATACGCATAGAGCAAAAACTGATACCTCCCTAGTAATTGACAGAACACACAGACAAAAAATCAAGCTATAGAAGATTTGAACAACATGATTAGCAAATTTCACTAATTCAGCTATAATAAACATTGCATCTAACATCTGCAGAGTACCCATTTTCTGCAGGTACACAAAGAAAATTTATCCAAATTGACATACACTAGTCAGTAAAGCAAATTTCAGCATATTTCAAATAATTAAATCTTAAAGAGCCTCTTCTAGAAATCATTAATAAAATGATAACTTAAAGAACACCCTCATATTGTTGAGAATTTGACTACTGTATCAAAGAAAAACCCATAATAGCATACCAAAACTTTTTATATGCAGATGAAGCTTTACAAAGAGGGAAATTTAAAGACTATAATTCATCTATGAGAAAAGGAAGTGAGAAATCAGTGATCTCAATTTCCATTTAAAGAAGCCAAGAAAAACAAAATTAATCTCAAAGAACGTGAATGAAAGGGAATAGTAATGATAAAGAGAATTAAAGCATCATGGGAAGACTTATTCTGTAGAGTATCATGATTTATGATAATTCTACTGCAATCACGCAGTGTGCTGTTGGTTCAAGGAGAGGCAAACAGACCAATGTGATCCAGGGTCCAGAAGCATGTCATGAATGTGGTCAGAACCACAGTGACCCTCAGAGCAGAAGGGAAAGGGAGGTCTTTCCAATTAATGTTGCTGGGTCAGCTGAGTATCAATATGGAAAAAAATGACAGAGGATCCCTAATTCTAATTTTCAACAAACTGAAATGCATGTTCTAAGCTGAAAAGCAACAGCACCTTTGGGTGTGATCTTTGGTCATCTGTGGACATAGGTCCAGGCAGATGAAGGTCTCTGGTGCGTGAATGGTGAAGGTGCTGTTGGAAAATTATGCTAAATCTAAGTCCTTTACATATTTTATCTTCACATGTTTTTCACATATTTTCCAATGTTGCCTTTGTATTTATGCTGTCAGTAGGAGAGACACTGGGGGACAGGTGGGCCTTTGGCACTTAGTAATAGTGGTGTAATTACTAGGGTAATAGTGGGTGATTTCCTTCTCTAGTTGCTGATGGGTGCCATTCCTCAGACATCTAGCTTGTTTTCAGAGCTGGCCACCCTCTCTTCTATTTTGTCTGGGAGAGAAGTAAACTGTCATATCCATTGGATGGATGGAAAAGCAGAGGCTCAGAAAGGGCAAGTGTTTTGAAATGAGGGCAACACCATCTCCTGACTTCTAGGCTTCAGTCTTTTCCACAGTTTATTAGGTCCTGGTATGAATGCAAATGTAATGCAGGTAAGTTGGATACTTTCTGTGAAGTTCCTTGAATTCCTGGGAGAAATGTGGCATTTATATTCAAATAATTACCCTTGAACATTTTGATTCTTGTCAATTTCCTCGTGAAGGGTTTGGGATTGAAACACTGATTCTGGTAAAAGGCCCTCAAAACATACAGAGTCCTTTGTTTGGTTATGTGCATTATTGCTGGCAAGAAACAAATATGGCTTCTCTAGGCCTCATAATCTCCAAATGAACTAATCAACTTCTCTTAATTGTGCCCATTGCACCATTTGACCAGCATTTACATATTGTTTGCTGGGTTCATTGGTGCTACTAACAGCATTTTCATCCTTGCAGGTAATGATAGTAAAATTGGAACAATTGGTTTATATCTAGAACTAATAAAAACTTAAAAATGGCTTATAGGTCCCATCTTAGGAAGTATTTGGGAATCTTGCCAACAAATACTCAGCTCCTGTCTCTTCCCCCAGGAATCCACTTTTTGACTACTTTTCTGACTTAATCACTAAACAAAACCAGGAGTGGCATTTTCTAAAAGTTCTTCCTTTTTAGTAGTTTATCTATAGAATCCCCTTGCCATGTATAATATTGTTCTTAATTTGGATATATATTCAGGCCCCTATCCTCTGTCAGTATTTTCTTTTTATCTCTGCATATTTTATTCTATGAAAACTACATGTAACTTAATTCACTTTCTTTCAGTTGCCTCCAGAATATTTAAAAAATATTTACCCTTCTGAAATAGAGTTGTCTAAACGTGTAAGATTAAACCAATAACTCATAATTTAGTTGCCATTCTCATCTCATTCTTAAGACTGAGAAGGGTTTTGTTTTTTTTTAATAAATTCTAGGTTGGTTTCTTCAAAAAATTTTTTCTTTTGCCTGTGTACAGATAGAAGATTTGTGCAAAGAATCTCAATCACTACGTTAGGTGCCTAGAGGAGAACATTTATTCTCAAAATACTCTATTTCCCTCTCAGATGAGACCAGAGTATTTGAGAAGGTCAAATATGGAGCACTGAGAATTATTAAATTGGATCTGCTGTCTTTATAACAATTCAATTAAGAGGGTTACAATTTTTTTCTGTAAAATCATAATCAACATTTAGTCATGAAATTCCTTACTCAGTGGCATGTCATTTCAATCAGGCCTTATTAAGTAAATAGCTTTCCTTTAGGACGTAGACGTGCCTCAATTCTCAGCAGTGACTACGCAGTGTGTGGAGGTGTGACTGGCTTTAGTGTCCTCAGCTTGTGCCTGTGACAAGGTGTCCCTCTAGTCAGCTGGTCCCTAAACTACCTATTCATCTCGTTTTTTTATTTTTAATAAAAAGAAATTTTTCTACACTCCTAAAGCTTTTTTAGAGCAAGCAAAAGCACTGATGTGCTTTGAGTTTCCAACTTAGTTACTATTTAGCATACAGGCCTATCTTTGAAGGTTACAACAGGCTTCTGTTGCAGCCACCGGGTTCCTCAGAGATGCCCTATGTAGCTCAAACTATTTCTCCCAGCTCTATTGGGAGGAGGCTGGTTGTGGGCTTAGTGATTTTTTCAGATTTCTGATGCATCTGAAGAAGAGAGTAGGCATCTGGGTTTTTTTTTAATTGGCTTAAATGCTTCTAAACAGAGATGATATGAAAAATATTTAACAGCCAGTAAGGTACAAGTACTAACAGATCAGAATGGACTTCCAGAGAAAATAACCTAAGTAGCTACACCTGTATCAACAGGCTGCTAAGAAGCCCATTCTAAGGATCCATCAAAGCCAGATAGTGAGACTATCATGGACATCTCAGGCAGGGAGCAGGGGCAACTGTTAAACTGTGACCTGTGAAAAATCTGTCTGTGGTTTTGGAATGCTTCCAGTAGAAGAGAAATCTAAGAGAGTCCCTGGAAATGCTGCCTAATTTCTGGCATCACAGGAAATCCCATCATCTGTTCCATGGACACTATTCCTCTCGCCATAAATAGCTTGACTCCATATGCCCGTGGAACTCTCACTGACACTTGGCGTCAGCCAAGAAGTAAAACACCGTTTTCTGTAATGCCACCTCACAGTCCCTAGAACTTAACAGGTCACCATCTGATTTCCTTCTGTAATTAGGTTGGCTCCTTGGTAGCAGGTATCTTACAGTTATGCATACATTTGTATCTATAAATAATGGTATTCTCACCCAATAATGAAATATGAACAAGAACCTACCTTCAGTTTCTCAGGAGTGAAAGCGTTACACATAGTATAGTTGGACCAGGTTCGATTGTTCTCAGGATGTTTAAACCAATCCCCTTTTTCATCACAGTATTTCGTAACCTTTTCTGTTAATGGAACATAACAGTTATTGCATTATTATCTCAAAATGCAAAGAAGGAAAACTAATAAATTAAACCTTAAAAGTCATTCCAAACTGTTAATCAATTTATAGAACTTCAGTGAGAATATAAGTCAATAGAGGCTACCGTGAGGCATGCACTGTGTAAGACACTTCAATACATATTGTTTCATTTTATCTTCAGTGGAGCTATGTATGGCAGACATTGTTATCTCCATATTAAAAACAGGAAGCCGACAGTGAGAGAGGCTCTAGAGTTCGAAAAGTCTGCAGGTAGTGGGGGAGCTAGGATTTAATCCCAGGTCTGTCAGACTCCAAAGTGCTGCATACACTGTACCTCATACTTTTTAACAGATATTAAGCTGCTGATTTTAGATAGAAACTATGTGAGAAGAGCAAGACCATCCTTTTCTTCATTTATGTGCGATATTTATTTATTAAGTTGACAGTATGAATATAGGTATTTTTAAGACGTGCTCTTCTTTGGAAAGGATTTGTCTCCCAGCTAAAAGCGTTCTATCTAAAGATGAGGCTGTGAAGACGGATCTATGCCTGGAAGTCTCTGCTCTGCTGACCAAAGCTTGCCTTTTAGTCAATAATGATAACCACTTTGGCAAGAGCCCATTGCTGCTGTGGAACTGGCCTTGTAGCCTCAATAGCAGAATGGCTCTCCGTGCCAATCAAATTACTTCTAATGCAGCTGTCAAATCAAGATTAATGAAGCATCATTTATTGGGAAGAGTCAATAAAGACCCAAAGGATTACCATCAAATAGCATTTAGTTTTGGTTTACAGGAACGTAGTGCTGAGCAGAGCACAGCACCAAGCCCTTTTTCTTCACATCCCAACTTTTCTATCAAAATAGGAATTCCCAGAAGGCGCTGGCCTCAACTGGTTTTAAAGGCGGCCCCTGTAATCCCTTTGGCATTATCTGTCTTAGTGGGATGGAATTTTGAATCTTATCCTCAAAGGAAGAACAAAAAGCATCTCCCAGACCTCGGCTCAGGGACTGATTAGTTTCTCTGTTCAAATCTGGATCCCATAAACTTTCTTGCCTAGATTTTTCCATCATGACTGCTGTGATCTATCTTAACTGATGTCCTCACTTTCAGCATATGGGCAATAACCCCTGTCATTCACAGTTAGTGAGCATTAGGTAACGAGAAGGGCAGGTTGACCCAGAAATGCAGTAGAAACTCTGACCAAACAATTCTTGGAAAAATCTGAAAGTGAAGGTTGATTTTCCATAGTCTCTTAAGCACAAAACAAACACTGATTCCTCTCTTCAAAATGCTAGTTCTAGTCCAGACTGGATAATTCAAAGAAGACCATCCTTTGTCAGGACCATGGCATCCCTGCCACAGCCTGGATGGGTGTTCTCTCTCCCATGGAACCACCACTCCCTGAAGGACACAGAGAAGGAGGAGGAAGATGAGCACCGTGAGGTGTGGAGGGATCACTGTCTGTTGTGTCACAGCTTGTCAGCAGACAGATGGAACTTGGGGCAGAATGACCTGCACACCTGGAGCCCTGTCCCCACGGCCAGCCAGTTTCAACATCTGGAGCCACTTGAACACCCTCTGCAGGCTCAGGCTCACTACACTCAGGAGCAAGTCTCACCCCTTCACCGTGTGCTTGTAGCTGGACCCACTTAGTTTCAGAATCTGGGTCTTCTTTATAACTAAGCTTTATACTTCCTTTTGAAAAGTATCTTAGTCCTGGAATTTTTTGAATGGGACATGTTTTCTATGTAGTTTCTTGGAACAGAACTTTCCTGCACCTGATACCTGAAGCTGGGTGGCTACTACATTCTACCCCTCTGGGACCCACCTTCCTCCATTGCCTGTACCAGTCACATCTGATTCTGGGCTCTGCCTCCTCCTGGCACAGCTACTTAGTGCACTGGTTTAGCTTCCCTGGTTCCATCCACTTTCTTATCTGGACTGTTGTTATAATTGAACACACTTTCATCTTGGCCGTCCAGTTAGTCACAAGCAGGAATTTTAAAAATCCTGATGCCCAGCCTGCACTCCAAACTAATTAAATCAAGAGTTTGGGGTAGCATCAGGACTTTTTAAAGTTTTCCAGCTTCTTAGCCAAGTTGAAAAACACTCACTTCCTACTAGCACTTATGTAATCCCAGTCCCCACCCCAGGTGTCTAGTCTTTTCCTCTGCATTGTTCCTGGCCACTCACTACTGAGCGTATTTGGTTCCAGACTTCCAGTCTATTTGGATAGCTGCCACTTTTAAGATGTATAACTTCAGCTACCTAGCTTCTCACTCCGTTTGGTATCTGATACTCCTAGACCTTTAACTGCTTAAGCATTCCAGCCCCAATTCCAACCACACTAGTGTGACTAGATTGAGATTTGAAGAAAAAAGCAAGTCTGCCCTCGAAGGTTCTAGAAATACTTCAATCTGTGAAGTGTGTATGGAGATTTAAAAATACTGTTTTTCCAATGTTCTTCCAAGACTGTTGTACTTATAGAAAGAGAAATTAGGTAAGAGCTCAGGAGACAAGGGTTCACTTGCAGTTTTGTATCAAACATTGTTAGTATAAATGAGATGATAGGTGAAAATGTTTTGAAAAGTAAAAAATGATATTCAATGAAAAGTAATCCTATGTTGCTGTTATAACTATAGTGAATTTGATGTCATTCATTTACTTAACACACATCTGTTGACTGTTCATGTTGTACAGGGCACAGAGCTGGGAGTTAGTATCATTCATTATAACATTGTTAGTCTTGCTTACTGAGCGTATTTTAATAATCTACTGTTGGAACAGAAATCTGGTGTCTAGAGTTACCTTCTGATTTATTTTCCCTTGTACATGACAGTTTTATAAATTTTTCAAGGTTATGTTAAATTTCCATTGTGCATGTTATACTAACCCACTATATACAAACTCTAGATCAAGCATTTGCATAAATCACCAAATCTGAGACAACTGAAAATTTTTTTGACAAAAATCACACTTAAAAAAAAACTTCACAAAGTTTTAGAAAAATTAATTTAAATTTGTACTAAAATTTAATGTTAACAGTTTAATATTTATGTAAAATTTAAAGAATTGAAGACCAATGTGCACAGCTGACCATTTATGTAAGTTAAAAAATAAGGACAGCTTGCAACATTTGTCCAAACTTAATGTTTCAATTAGGAAAATGCTTCAGAACGTGATGAAATGTGTAGAGTATATTTCGGTACATTTATTTTATATCTGTTTTTCTTTACAGAACCGTGAAAATTCCAAAAGCTTCATACAAATACAAAATGAAAACAAATATTCTACCTGTTGGATCAAAGTCTGGGAAATAATCCGGGCAGTACTGATGGGACAAAACCCCAGCTGGCGTGTCATCCCAGCACAACCATCCATCCCAGGTACGGTTGCAGTAGGGACCTGGCCATAGAGAAAGAGGTTAATGTTGGTGTCAAAAATTGCATAATCCTCAGCAGGATTTAACAATGCATAGACAGTTATTCTGTAACTCCCCACATGCATATGGAAATATTAAAAATAACAGCATCAACAGCAACGTAAAAAAGGTATTAAGTTTACCAATTATTAATGGCATTTACATTTCTGTAGGGTTTTCTTTATTTGTTCCTCAAAAGATACAGGTCATCTGTATGGAATCTTTCCTCCAAAATCTTTCCTTGCAAATAGCTTCAGAAATGCAACAGGAGAACTCTTGGGAAAGTCCTGGTTATCACTCATGAGTAAAAGGCTTACCTTGAAAAAATATTGCTTGTGAGCATATGGATCTTACTGACCACTGACCTTCCAAGGGTCACCTTGGAGAGTTATAGTCCTAATGCAAGGGCAATGCCATTGTTACAAATTGCTACTGGATATGTCTTTGCAGCCAGCTAATGGGTCCTGTTTAAAAATAGTCTTGTTACTTAAGAATCACACTTTGTTACTGGCTAAAATAATGGTCAGTGTGATCAATTTATTCAAACTGATCAATGTACTTGTCAATATTGGTTCCCAATGGTTTCTCATTGCTTTCAAAAATACCCTAAAACATAAAGATTTACCCCTATTCCAAAAAATAAGCCTCAGGCTTTGATGGAAGTTCTCAAAAAACAAAAGTTTAAAATAGTGATCATACTATGAAAGTTCAGCCTCCCAAGATGACTGTGACTGAAGTAAAGGGGACTATACTCACTTTATTTCTAAAAGAAACAGTCTTGTGTTTCTATAATGTTTCATTGCTTCTAGTGTTTCTATTGCTTCTGAAAAATGTTTACTTCTTCAGGTGGAGTTGCATTTAATGCCTTTTCAGGTTCTTAAAAAACAAGGACAACTACTGCAGACAGAATAACATGTTATTTATTTTTTAGGGACTTGATTTTTTTGTTTAAAGGAAAAATGTCAAAAATAGGAACTGCATATTAAAATTTTATTAGTTATAGAGTATATAAACCAATTCCTGCCCCCTCACACCCAATAAGCAGTGTTGTCTTAGGATATATAAGTCTGTACAAGATCTTATTGGATCTTTCAAAATGTTTCAGGGGGTGAGAGGAGAATTTAAAGGGATGTATTAGGGAAACAAAATAAAAAATGAACAAATGGAACTACATCATGCTAAAAAGCTTCTGTACAGCAAAGGACACCATCAGCAGAACAAAAAGGCATCCTGCAGTATGGGAGAATATATATTTGCAGATGACATATCCAACAAGGGGTTAACATCCAAAATATATAAAGAACTCACACACCTCAACACCCAAAAAGCAAATAACTCTACTAAAAAATGGGCTGGGGATATGAACGGACACTTCTCCAAAGAAGAAATTCAGATGGTCAACAGGCACATGAAAAGATGTTCCACATCACTAATTATCAGGGAAATGCAAATTAAAACCACAATGAGATATCACCTCACACCAGTTAGGATGGCCAACATAGAAAAGACTAGGAACAACAAATGTTGGTGAGGATGTGGAGAAAGGGGAACCCTCCTACACTGCTGGTGGGAATGTAGGCTAGTTCAACCACTGTGGAAAGCAGTATGAAGGTTCCTCAAAAAACTAAAAATAGAAATACCATTTGACCCAGTAATCCCACTTCTAGGAATTTACCCTAAGAATGCAATAGCCCAGTTTCAAAAAGACCTATTTACCCCATGTTTATTGCAGCACTATTTATTTTACAATAGCCAAGAAATCGAAGCAACCTAAGTGTCCATCAGTAGATGAATGGATAAAGAAGATGTGGTACATATGCACAATGGAATATTATTCAGCCATAAGAAGAAAACAAATCCTACCATTTGCAACAACATGGATGGAGCTAGAGGGTATTATGCTCAGTGAAAAAAGCCAGGTGGAGAAAGACAAGTACCAAATGATTTCACTCATCTGTGGGGCATAAGAACAAAGCAAAAATGGAAGGAACAAAACAGCAGCAGATTCAGAGAACCCAAGAATGGACTAACAGCTGCCAAAGGGAAAGGGACTGGGGAAGATGGGTGGGAAGGGAGGGAGAAGGGGAATAAGGGGCATTAGGATTAGCACATGTAATGTAGGGGGTTCACCAGGGAGGCACTATAGCACAGAGAAGGTAAGTAGTGATTCTATAGCATCTTACATTGATGGACAGTGACTGTAATGGGGTATGTGGTGGGGACTTGATAATGGGGGGAATCTAGTAATCACGTGTTGCTCATGTGATTGTATATTAATGATACCAAAATAAAAAATAAAAAAAATAAATAAAGGGATGTATTAACACTTGGCCATCACGTCCTCCCTTATCTGCTCCAGGCCCTCCATAGCTAATGGAATGTGCTTGGCCCTGAAAATATTTGGGTCTATCACTTAGAGCATTCTAGATTAGGGGTGATAAACAACATCTGTCTAGGAGATATGTTTCCTAACTTCTCTTGGAACTGGGGGTAGAAAGGAGAAGGAATAGTATTATTTGCCAACCAATTGACAGTTAAGGGAAGACACTGCCTGATTAGCCTAAACAAGGCAGGGTTTTGACAGGTCCCACCTCAGGCAAATTCTCTGCCCACCATTTTCCAGTTCCCTTCCTGTCATTTTCTAGTTCCTCTCCATCACTTAGTTCTGTGTCATTCCTGCTTGCCTGGCGCGCACATTGACTTATTGTAGTAGTTTTGTCATAAATGCAGATGTTAGCCAAAGAGCAGTTGGATGAACTTGAGCAAAGAACCTAGGCATATCTCCTACGTGAAACACACAAACCATGGTTTGAGAACCACTGTTAACTCTGTTAAATCAAAATAGTCAACATACATTTACCCACAGAAGAAAATACACCATTAACAATGTTTGAACACATGTCCACACACATCCTTCTCTTTACCTTCTCCTTGGTAGAGGGGTAACCGCTGGATTCGGTCATAGCATTTGTACTGTGCATCCATCATTTTCTTTCGTCCTACAATGTACAGAAACGGCTCGGACTCCATCGTTGGAGGATAGGTGTTATTTGAAGAGGCAGGAAGAATTGGAGTTGGGTGCTGTATTAAAAAAAGAAATCCATCACTTACACAAACTGGGGATGGGTGCACACAGAAATAAATGAAATAGTCAAGAAGTTTGAAAACATTTTTCCTTCTAAGCAACAATAAGGCATGGTCTCCAAGTATAATATTTTTTCTTTATAACTAAAAAGTGTGTTTATATTTCATCTGCAAATTCTGCCTCCAAATTTCATATTTGCATTCATCCCATTCACTATTGAAAATGTGTAACACCCACACACACTCATGCACCTCTTTATCATATAAGATTTTTAACTTTATTATAACTTAAACCTTAGAAGTAAACAAAGCAAATAATCTGATTTCCAAAAAACATAAAGTCAACTTTGCCTTCTTTGGAACTCCTAAGAATCATGAACCATGTTATTAAAAATAGATATATTAGTGCAATAACTAAGCATTTTTGTGGATTCTTTCAGCTGATTTTTATTTGTGCATAGGTTATGTATAGTGCCAAAAATTTGCCACAGTCGATTCCATAAAACAAAGAAAGTTCTTCTGAGATATTTGGTCTTGGGTAATTGGCCTTAATCTCTTTAAATTGGTTCCATCAGCAGATGACCTGTACAGGCAATTCATTTTCACTGCTAGAAATCAATCTAAATCTTAAGTACATCTCTTAGTGCTTTTGCATTTTTGGTATAAGCTGATTTAGGTTATCAGTCTTGGTTAGTACCACTGTAGGTTCTTTTTATCAAAGTTGATGTGTGTGTGTGTTGTCTGAAAAGGTCACTGTCTGACATGTCACCCTAAGTTTTGCTTATATAGATTTCAGTTTCTTTTGTGGCTATTTTTTCTATGTTCTGCATAAAGACTTTTTTGAAAGCTTGCAAGTTTCAGCCTGCACTAACTTTTCTTCTCTGAAGTTTGGAATACTCTTTGTACTCTCTCACACCTGTTGAAACACACTTTAATGTGGTCTTGTTCTGTCTAAATTATTCCAAGATTGAAGTTTTCCTAAATGTATTGATGGCAGAAATAGTGTTATATACTTTTCTCTATTCCCCTCAATCTATAAAACAAACTCCTTCTTATCAAGTTGACCTATATACCCCAGGCTGTTAATAGTAGAGCCTCACTGCTTTCCAGTGCATATCTCCATGTAGATGGGACATCCTGTCTTATGAGACAGCATATCACTAAATGCTAAGCTGTGCAGAGCATAATACAATAAATATTCAGAATATATATATAGAGAGAGGGGAGCAAGAACAGTCGGGGATGACTACAGATACAAGGTAGAATCTGAATTGGACATTGAGTTTGTGTACTGTCTGCACAGGCAGAAGCCCTGAGGGCAGACTTTCTGGATGGAGGAAAAGGAATGCATGTAAGTCCAGAGGTAGGAAATGGTACATGGGAGACACTGGTAGGAAACTATCCTACCTTAATACGAGTGTATTTGAGAACTAACCAGAAGTGGAGCCCAGGAAAATAAGAGAACAGAGCTCTGTGGAAATAAATAAAAAGTGCCTGGGGCATGAAGGGTTCAATACAATTTACCTAATATTATTAAAACATGACAACAAAATAAAGATAGTTTGCAGCTTTTTGATCAGTGAAAGTTGGGAAGAGAGTGTCAGTAAAATTCTAGTGGTAGGCATTGGATGTCTGCAGATTAGAGCTGGGAAGGCCAGCCAGGAAGCTGGAGGCATGGACTCAATCACCTCATAAAGGCAACTCTGAGCACTTTGTCAAATAATAAAAACACCGAGGCATATTTGAATATAAGCAATGGAGAACATTAATAGTCAAACAGCCTACATATTTCAGCCTATACAGCTGGTAAAAAATGGTACTGCCCTGAGAAGGGAAAGAAGCTGGTAAAGGAAAACCCTCCTGGGGGAAGAAGGTAAGTTCTCCTCTGGACTTGTTCCGGCGGTGCTGGTGAGCCATCTGAGTAGAAATCGCTTGTCAGCAGAAGAGGGTGAATATTTACTACTATTATAATTCTAGAAGAACACTTTTTGTGAATATAGGTAACATCACTCTTTAAAGATTAGGATTATTTCTAATTTTAATGCCTCTTGAATTTATGATAGAAGAAAGGGAAATTAATGAACCAACAAAAATAATTAGAAACGCACAATTCCTTTACTGACATAACTGGACACCATTCTTCTGTCATATGTCCCTTTTCCCACTGGTATTAAGATCAGTCCATCAGCATGTATTCGTTGAACTTGGTAAGTGCTGCGCTAGATGCGGAGACTACAGTGCTGAATAAACCAAGCACTGATCCTGCCCTCACGGAGCTGACAGTCTAGCAAGAATGACCAACATGTTAAAAGACTTCCTGACACCAGAAATTTTGAAAAGTAAAGAATTAAAGCATTCAATGCTCAGATATTCCATCAGGAATTGGGATGTTTGTGAGTGAAAAAGTATTTTGAAGAGATTTCATGTTAAGGCTTCTTTTTGGATTTTACTAGCTTACATTCATGTATTTGTATGAAAGTGTGTGTGTGTGTGTGTGTGTGTATGTGTGTTTTAAATATTTGACTAAAAATCATGTAACCATGATCTTTAATGTATCATAGAGTCCTCACAATAAGAGGTGTTAATCATTGGTTCAGTTTATGCATCTCTTTTCAATTCTTCATGGCTCAGAATCTTTAGTTAATATTTAGTTGAATTATCTATTTCTGGGCCATTTATCACCATCTTCAACTCAAATTAGGAGATGGAATATGCAGTCACATATAAATCTTTTCTGTCACTTACATAGATATTTTCCATTAGGGCCTATTTTACTTAAGCTTGGCATTCTTTCCTGAGATACCATTCTGAATTCTGTCTTTACATGGACTGGACAACCAAGAAATGTGTGTGCACTAGTTGGAAATTCACGGAAGCCATCGGGAGGCAGTATGTGCAAGGAGATCAAGTGGAAAACCTTATACTTGTATTTTCAATTACAACATTATTTGGTTTAATGCAGTTTTAACATCAGATATAGTGGAGATACGAGCATCTGAAAGAGCAGGTGTAGTCCACGTAGATGACAGTAGCATCAATTATCATTCTTGCAATATTGAAACAAACTCCAGTGAACTTGGTTTGAAGCCTTGGTTCAGCAGAGATTGTTTCAACACTGAAGGAATGAGGAATGAGAACCTCTGTGGTTAGATGAGCCTGGATATTCTAAGTCCACTCCTGGTCTGGTTCATGCTTGAGCATTGACGATGGAATTTTTCCAGTGGTAGCTGAATGTTTCAGTGATTTTCTTCTGAAAATAATATGCACATTGAGTCTATCTGTTATATACATATATGTATGTGTATATATATATATATATAAAACAGATATGTAGATAAAGACATACAGATATATAGCCATTTTATATATATATGTGTGTGTATATATATATATATATACACACACACACACAGATATTTATAATTCCAATCATGGAATTACTACTGCTTAAAAATAACACATATACAAATTTCATAAAGTTCAGTAAACATAGTAAACTTTTTGTTGATGATTTCATACAAATAAAAATTGTTAGTGAGGTAGTATAATTTTCAGCAATAAAAGGCAAAATAGAAGCAGTAACGATTAAATAAAACTACCAAGCAATGTGAACTCAAAAATATTCTACTTTTAACATGTTGGGTTTATGCTAAATGTCTGGGGGATGTAAATAGATATATAATTTTACATTTACACAAAGATAGAAGATATTGCTCTTCTGGATAAAGGTTGGTATTCGAAATTTTGCATGCAAGTCATCTCACACAATTCTTGCAAGACAAAACAAAACCTCTCAATTGTTGTCCTGTGTAGCAGTTTAGCCGCCGTATATGTGATGTCACTTCTAAAGGTTTAAGTAAATGGCGCCACACATACGACCGCCAAGCTGCCACTAAAGTCCACGGCAGAAACATCACAAGTTCTTTCAGTGAATAAATACTAGTGCCTCCACCTGTCAGGCACTGTGTTAGATTCTGTAGATTCGTCAGTGAACAAGATTAGCAATGTCCCTGCTCTTACAGAGCTTACATTCTAGGAAGTTTCATCCACACTAATCCTGGAGTCCAGGGGAAAGCAATCTAATTTAATGGCTACGTGCTCAAGGGATTCCTACTTTGGTGTCAATCAGCCTGCTTTCAGATTACAGGCGCTTTCTAGGAGTATAGAGACAGAAGGGTTACAGACCTGTTCTGTGTAGAACTTTAAGAAATGGTCCATCTCTGCAATGGTTCAAACCTACTGAATCTGGGGACCCAGGCTGCTGAGCTTAAGGGAGAGATTCTGTTGATTGCCACAGACAGAGCTGCTCTAAAAGGAATATGATTCCAGAACCTACAAATTAATGCAACCAACACGATTTCCCTGTCACCATCTTTAATAGTGATAACATATATGTCAGAATTAGTTGTAGTTTTCAGTTACTTATACTTTTCAAAATAACAAAGGGTAAGATGGAACTCTGTGAAGCGTTAGCCCTGGCTCTTCCGGGTGGGTTGGTGCCTGGTGGCGTGCTAGGTACTTTCTACTTCAGCTTTATATAAACAAGAGAACTGCTGCTATATCATAAATTCAGAGCAAACAGGGGAGTACAGCTAGGGAAACGACAACATGTTTCTTAGAAGAGCCTAGTTTTTCTGGTTCTTCATCACTGGGGCTCTTGTGGTCACTGTCTTCACCACTAGTGTTTCTCACTAGGTGCCAAGAGCTGTTCTACCCCTGCTGCATCACTGCAGGGAAGGGAGAAGGGAGTGGCTGGTTTCGGTTAAGGTACATGAAGCTAATGAGATTGGTGACCCAAACTGATATGTTAAAGACTGTTTGGAAATCAGGTTGGTAGAATTCAACAAATATATTGGTAGTGGTTTTTAACAGTAATGTGTCTAAGACATGACATGTTTGGAGTAATTAAAATCAGTGTCTTTTTTAAAAATTTGCTTTTCTCTGAGGAATAGCAATGTGGAATGTAAGGAGTGTTTAGAAGGAAACTGATGGATCAAAAAATTTTATGGACAAATCCCCCCAATCAATTATTCAGTCCAAATACAGAGACACAAAAAGAACACAAGTGTCCTGGATAGTTATGTTTGCGAGTAAAGACAGTCCCACAAACCATAAAAATTTTCTGTCCATGCCAAATGCAAATATCTGAAGTTCTTTCAGTCTTTAAATTTTAAGATATGTGGGGTGAAAGTTTTGAGTGAAAGTGTTCTATGTTAGTTTTTTAACACACCAAAAATTATCTTTTAGTCTTTGTAATAAAAATATGTTTGGTGGTAATACTCAGGTATCTTAATATTTAGTAGTTATTTTAGTTTTTCTTCTATTAGTGTCTTATATAATTAAATGGTTTATTAAATGAAATTATTTAGAAATATTCACATATAGGATTTCATTTAAGCTCCAAAAGTAATATCAATTTATAAATAGAGCCTACCAATATTTCTGCATCTATAGAATACCACATAAGGCTTGGACATTTACAGACAAAATTAAATATCTAAGAGTTTCTACAATATTCTTGTTTCAATGTTTTTATTATATTTCCCAATGACATGAAGATCCTATTTCCATACACTGATTACTTTTAGCAAATTACTCTGTGCTTTATCCAACGATTAAAATGATATGGCAGTCTTATATAACAGAGTAAACTATAGTCATTATCCAAATAGGTACAAAAGGGCTATATTAACAGTCATTCCCATTAACCATTTATTTGATGTATAGCATTACAAATAAAATTTCCCTTAAAGCGAATATTTATGGAAAATTAGTAAGGCTTTTCCTTGAGTAATGTAAAGCGACACAGTTTATGCACACTTCTAAGCCTGTGATTACATGTTAATTAACAATGGAAATCCTGGAATTCTAGGGAAGCTTTGTCTGGTGAGTATAACATTAGCAGGTCCTGAGTGGTCTTTACTCCCAGCTATAATTCACTGGCCAATGTTTTTCTGATGTGGTAGAAAGGATAAGGATCAAGTCAACTCCAAATGCATTTACGTAAAATTTACTCATCCCCTCTCATGTACTATTGGAGTTTATATGATGGTGGATTAACAAAGTTGATACAAATAAATAGGCATTGATAGTGTTTTCTAAGACAATTCTAATTCTGACTACTTACTTAATCATTAAGGAATAAAACAGTATAAAATTACATAAATTGGACATGATTTAAAAGCCTGCAGAAAATTATGGAATGACAGTGATATGTTGACTTAATATTCTTAGTCAGTTTTTTGATAAGAAATACATTTGAAATCAATAATCAGACTGAAAGAATTCAGATATTTTAATAAAACACACAGCCCAGAAACTGATTCAAGTCCACACATCTAACATGAGAAACATTTTATCCAAGAACATTATTAACCTTCAATGTTAATTTCCAAGATAATGTGGTGATGTCTCAAATTGATGCAAAGTTTTTATAAACGAATGAAGCTCACATTTCTGGGTAAGCCATTACATGAAATCGGGAAGTTCAGAGGGGAGATTTGTTAACAAAATATGAAGAAAATGATAGTTTTGAGGAACTAAGTTTTGGCTTCTGGAGAATAGTGTCTACCCTTGCAAATGCCCATGCTATCGTACTCCCAATTTCAGCATTCTTGATTGGTATAACTTAGAATGACTTTGTTTTACTTACATTTAGAAAGATGAAGAGTACCAAGCACCAGCGAGTAAGTGTGAACTTCATTTTCGGTGTTGGAAGATGATTTTCTTCTAAGTTCTAGAAAAATATAAAAGTGACAAAGATGTTTAAATTAATATACCTTTAATACTGACTATAGTCTCTATTTGGCTTGAGGAGGATCAATGTCCCGTGACACCCTAGATAAAATGCGGGTAAGTAAGAGCAGTTTGCTGATCATGTGAAGGCAGACATGCGTTCCATTGCCCTTCCTCTCAGCCAGGACCGATTAAGGTCTGGTTGTTACCTGAAGTCCTCCTCTTAAGAAATCCTGGAGCCAGCTTTACATATCAAGACCAAAACAAGAGATTTAGAGAAATCAAAAGCGATCAATGTGGATTTCACCTAACACGCGGCATCAGTAGGCCTGCTGAAAATTTCAATAGAAACATCCACACAGGCGTCACCTCATTGGACATGAGCAAATAAAATCTGTGCTTTGGAAAGGATCAATAGTCATGCCCTCTAGGTAATTTAAGGCTAAATTCCATTTAAGTAGTCTTAGTTAGAGCCTTGAGTATTGTTCCTTCATATGAAATTTTCTTCAAGCTTCAAATTGCTATTAAGAATATGCTTCTTCCACAGCAAGGATAGAGGATGTCACCTGATGGCTCACCGTTCCTACCTAAGAGCACAATACTCAGAAACAAGCTGCTTTGTCACACACGTCAAACAATTTTTCATGACCCTGCAGATAATTTTACACAAGGAAAGATAATATGGGTGTGAAATTAAGGAAAAAATATGTATTTCTTTTCATCAGTGGGATTTATGAAAACTGTATTTCATCTAGGGGTGAATCATTGCGATTGCATCTTCTGTCTTACACTTCATATTCTGCTAGGCGTGAGTTAGTTTCTACACCATGTGCCTAATATACCATGTCCCCAGAAGAGTAAGTTGTATTCAATTTACATATCAGTATGAAAGGAAATTGATAATGTAAAGTATGATTTTCAAATGTCATATACTGATTATTATTTATTGCTCTGACTTAGCTCAAGTCCACTAGTAAGTTAAAAACACATACATGCATGTATTAATTGCTAAGGTACTGCAAGGGATGTAAATATGGGTGAGCTGGATGAAATCTGGTTTGGTTCCATTACAAGAAACTGAACATGGGGGCAGGGATATGGAATTTGTAAGGTGATATAAGATATGTGCTAAAATAATTATAATATAGACCAGGTAAAATGTTCAGTAAAATAGTACCAATGCAGAGCCTCATAAAAGACAGAGATAATTTCTGACTGGGGGGACCAGACCAGGATTTGTATTTTGACACATAATTTGAAACAGAATGGGATTTTGAAGAGCAGAGACCTATGGGCAGAGGAAGCAAATAAAAACAACTATGAAGATAAGAAAATTTGAGTGTAATTAAAGAATAAAGGAATACAATAGTTTAATTTAACTTGAGCTTAGAGCTTTTCAGGAAGTGAAAATAAGGTTTTGAGTGGCTAGGAAATTTATACCCAAACCACCTTTTTAGCATTTTGGGAGCCAGCTATACATTTTCATCTATGTATATCTACAATCTAACTACCTTATCTGATGCTGGCCCCCTTTCAGATGAGAACCATGTTTAGTGGAAGAAGAGGGGCTTTTAATTTGTCTTCCCCCTTAATTGGGAATGTTAATACCTGTACTGGATGAGACTTATTTCCTATATATCTCTTGCACTTCACACAGTCACTTACACATGATGATGATTATTGATAATGATGGCGGTTTGTGGACTAATGAATTAAATGAAGCATAGAACTCTGTGAATTTTTTTTACAACTGTATTCTCTACACCACCACAGTAACAAATCTGAAAATATAATTTGTTCTCTCCAATTCCTTGCATTTCCATGTCAGTGACTTGCACAATTCAAATCCATGAATTGTCCAAATGAGAAACTAGGGATCCTTGATTCCACCTACTTCCTGATGCCCAACATCTAGTCTCCAAGACTCTGATTCTGTCTGCATTTGGTATCTTCTCAAAAAGTCCACACCTCTCCATCACCTAAGTGTAGTTCTCCATCTTTCTCAGGAAAGAAAGACTCTAGAAACAATATTACTACTAGTTTTCCTGCTTCAAGTCTTGATCTCTCCAACCCATTTTCTATTCTAAAATGAGTGTGATTGTATCCTCCTTCTGTGAGTCCCTACAAACTTTACGTAAATATATAACACCCTTGCCTAGGAATACAATACAGGGCCCTCTAGAAGCAGCAAGCACCAATATGCTCATGGAGAAAATAAAGACAGGAAAGTTAAAGTTGTCTTTTAGATTTCTAGCTTGAGTACAGGGACAGATAATGAAGGAATTCAGGAAGGGGAAGTAAGTGGAAGAAGAGGGGCTTTTAATTTGTCTTCCGCCTTAATTGGGAATGTTAATACCTGTACTGGATGAGACTTATTTCCTGGTATGACGGGCAGGACTTTTGAAATGTGTACATTCTTGTGAAATTGAAAAACCTTTCCTTACTTAACCAGAGCCTGCTTTTTTAGAAGGAAATCATAGATATACATTGAATTTCAAAAGGTCTGCTGCTTGTGACGGTCCTGGGATTTTGACTCTGAGAAAAGCAGGATGTGTGGAACATTACAGGTGTCAGAATTAAAAGCCAGATCTCTTCTTCACGTGAAAGTCCTGCTCATTAATTTTAAATATGAGAGCTAAGCACAGTGAGAAGCCAGTTTCTCTATGAAAGTGAATCTGGGGCAATTAGGCAGTTAATTGGCTTATTCCATCTATGTCATATATTTGATGTCATTTGATATCTCTAAAGAGTAAGTGGCTAGGTTTGACTCAATAGTATCATTACAATGAGGAGAATTAGAGGCAGTGGGAGACTTATCTTCCTTCCAGTGAATGGGCTGCACAGTCATCTTGCTGTAGGAAAGGGCAGGGGGTCCCATGGTTTCAAAGCCCCATCCACTGCTTTTACAATTGTACCATGAACAACTAAGGTGAATGAAAATAGCATGGAAATAGATATTAGAATGAACATTTGTAAATGACAGAGGGGTTTAACCAAAAAACATTCCTTTCCTTATTTATTCCTATTAACTGAAAAGATTTACAATTTTTAATACTCTTGCATTATTTTAACTGCAACAGATTCCTCATGTACATTGAATGAATGATCAAAGGATGGATAGACTTCAAGGTGGAATCTAGGGAAAGACTAATACAGAACTTTAATAGGCAGTGTTCAGAACTCAGTGGCCTTGAGAAAATAGTGTTGACATAAGGCTTAGAGTGTTAAACCTTAGCCCATGTAGGAAAGAACAAAATTAGGCAAACAGCAGCTAATGAGGATAAAAATGCAACTTTGCATGTGAAATGGGAACAGGTGAGGCAGAGGAACTGTGACCAGTTATCTGGTATACCAGGAAGATGACTCAGAGAAGACCGGAACAAAGCTTGACTTTGATATCAGATTGTTCACCTGCTTCTTGTTTCCCCCCTGTTTCTTCTTTACAGAAGGGACTTTGTTCAATCTTGTAACCCTAGAACCTAGAAGAATCTAGAACATAGTAAATGTTAGTTGCTTAGTTTAAGGGATGATTTAGAGTCAGAGTTTGGTAAGTCAGGAAGCATCATTCTTTTCCCAAAGGCCTCTAATTGTGGAGCCAGGAGATTCTAGATCCTGCTCCTGCTTCTATTATTGCTTTAATTTAGGCAGGGAGCTTCACCTCTATATCAGTTTCTTACCTACAGAAAGACTCCTTACTCATATCATCCTTGAATAGAACACTCTCAAATTCGAAGCTTATTGATTTCCCTAGATCTCAGTTGTCTAGTTACTTCGGGCAGTGGTTTCCAAGATGTCTTTTAACCACTTTTTTAATCAGATGCTCTTGTGGGAGCCCCATATATAAGCCAGATAAATGTGGAGTCCCCAAACTGGATTGTGGAGCCTGATTTAGAACACGGAAATAATGCATCCACGGACAGTGGTCCAGTCCCTGGGTGGGACCAAAGACTCTTGCACTGCTCTGAATCCATACATGAGCATTCATTGCTCATCTGTCTAGAAAAAGGTATCCCCGTGTAGCTGGGGTGAGTTGGTGGGTAGAAATCACCACCGTGAGTAAACAGAGTTCTAAATCGCTAATTCAATGATGATGATTAAATAGACTACTACTCATTTATGGAGAACAAATTTCCTTGAAAAAGAAAGTTACATTATTTTTATTTTATTTTTGTGTGGAAAGAATATGAAATGTCAATGTCTGAAAATAATGTGACTATTCTCATAGATCAGCATTTACAAAAGTGTATTCCATAGAATAGCAGTAATCCCAAGAGATGCAGCATAAAATAAAGTTTCCATGGCCCACAAAGTTTAGAAATTAAGCATTTCCTATATTCCTCTTAGGGATTCACCATAGACATTAGCACTTAAAAGTATTTAATGTTTCTTTATCAAAAGTGCTGGTTTGACTTTAACTCTTCACCCTCCAAGCCTGTTTGACCATGAAAAAATATTTTTATGATAACAATTATTTACCATCTGCAGAATATACTTTGGAAAATATTCTCTTGGCTCAATGGCAATTCCTAGCCCACTGTAGTTAATTAAGCCTGCAAGTCATGAGAAAGAGCTGCCCTTTTACTTAAAAATTTCTTTTTTTCTTCTCCATGGAGCAAAAGTGGAATTTCTGAGGTCTTAAATATTCCCCAGTGTTGGTACAAAGCCCAAAGCTCTCAAAGGCATCTCCGAGGCAATAGCTCCTTTGGAGCATTATTTGTCAAGAATCTCTCCTCTCGTAACCTGGCTCTGAGAACGAAGAGTGGGGTGAGGGGTATGGGCAAAGAATAGGAAAGAGAAGAGGCAAGCATTGCTTTTCTAAAAAGGGCTGTGGCCTTTTGTCACCCAAAGCCTAAAATTTGTTTCCAATTTGGCATTTCTTTTGAAGACAGCTCTATTGAACACGTTTCTGTAGGTATGACCTGAGTGAGCAGGTAAGTGCATTTTGTGAAACCACAGTGTATGCTGGTTTGTTTTCTTAGCCATGCCTACTGCTTGGACAAC